ATTCATACTGGAGATTTGGATCGGGTCGAAACTGGGGAAACAGGTAAAAACCAGGATGCAGACGACCGCGATTTGCGAAAAGACGTTGCAAAACAAGCCGAGCTTTCCGAGATTTAAAGCCCGGTTTGGCAGGGTCGAGCGCCCGCGTGCGAGCAATATAGCCTGAGGGACCACATAGGTGATGTTCTATCGCTCGTCAGAAGAGGGAGTCTCTGCCCATTATCCAGTTGAACCTCACCAGGTAAAGCACAGCTGAGGTAATGATAGAGTTGAAGGCTGCTGAGGACGCGATGAATAAGAGTCCATAAATCCAACAGAAGACCACAGAGAGCACGGTGGCTCTCACTGGGACTTTGGTCTTCGGGTGGAGATGCTTGAAGTAGTCTGAGAACGGCAGTCCGTTCTTGACATTGAGTCAGCATACCAGTATTCCTCGTCACACGAAGCGAAGCGCATTCCTTACGTCTCGAGAAAATGCCCACGCCATGCGCCCACAGGTAACCCACTGAGGCACGACACACACTGGACGACGCGATCAGTCATAAGCTTGACTGTTCCAGGACCAAATCACTCACCAGTATAGATGACGGTGGTCCAGGCCAACATGAACGTGGAAACCCCCTTACTTCCTGTAATTTGATAGAAGGCTTCGAGCGAGGGCAGAGCAGAATTGACAACGGCGTCTGTGTCAGCCACCGTGTACATCATTGCAATCATGAGCGGCATTGTGGTCAGGAATCCGATGAGAATCGTGGTATTCCTGCAAAATGTGAAAATGGCTCAGCGTTGTTCCGTGTCGGGATCACGGTCGTCACTCACATAGCTTCCGGGATTTGTCTTCCGGGTCTGTGCATCTCTTCTGCGATGTGGATCGGGCTGTCTGTGCCGACATACGCAAATCTGCCGATGTTAGACAGACTGGTGACTTCGCAAAAAGGGAACAACAGCGCCGACTGACAATGCGTTACAAATCCCGAGAAACCATCCCAAACTATCCGGCCATCCTGATGTGCCTTGGTTGAGTTTTGTCACGGTGCTGCCAGGAACCACCTGTTTCTTCATCGCCAGAACAATGATGAAACAAATAAAAAAGCCGACGATAGACATGGTGAGGACGAACTGAGCGATGCGCGGCACTGCCTTGGGGAAGAGAACGACCGGTGCCGCTGGTGGAATTAGCCATGTCGCACACATTCGTCATTTTTTTGTCTTACCTGTTATGCAGACGACGCCGACGTAGACCAACCATGTCTGCCAGGAATGCAGGACCAGGTCCGGGTACCAGAAACTGACCATGCCGATGATAGAAACGGCAGAGAGAGTGGCGCCAGAACAAGCAATGATCCACCATCCGAGCAAGGTCATCCACCCAATAACAAACGCAGCAAAGCGCCTGGTTTTCAGGGGTGCCAACACCCATACGAAATGATATTGTCCCTGTCCGGAAACGATCAGTGACGGTGTGGACGGCAGGGACAACGACCGCTTACGCCTGACGAAGGGAAAGCCGACGCAATCTCAGAAAGGCCCAGCGTGATGAATCCTTGCACGAAGGTAGCTATCAAGCATCCAAAGATGACCACTGGGCGGCCACCATAGCTCAAGGGGATGGCGAAATTGCTCAGATAGGCAATCCAACTGTTTGTGATACTGTGGTGCGTCAGACCAAGTTCACAAAGGGAGGGTATGCGATCGTACCCGAATCCGACAGCAATGGACGACAGGCGCGAGAAGGAGCGCGGCATCTCAGCCTGATGCCCTTGTGCCTCGGTGACGTTGTTCTCGACAATCTCCATGGCACCGATTTCAAGACTTGGTACAGGTTCAAGCCCTGTGGGTTTCGAGTGGTTCATTTTGGCAAGCGGCTCAGCCATTTTGCTCTGCGGCCCTCCCAAAGACTAAGAAGCTGGAAAAGAAGATATGTGAATCTGTCCTGAACGCAGGCAATGGGCGAGGTCATGTTAAAAGGCATCGCTGATAGAACGGTATGCATAGGAGTGCAGTCACATTTTCACTATCGCTCCCACCTCTTTGGCATCACCTGGTCTGGTTGAGTACTCGGTACAGAGGCACCTCGACTGTCGCGGCTAATACTCCGTTTCGAGACAAGCGTGCCATTCTGAAGAACCGCAGTGGGTCAGGAGTGTCGGGCAATGGGCATATCATGTAGCCTTTCGTCCCATCCAATCATCATCGTCGGCAAGGCAGCTTGATCGTTCGTGTTCGGAACCTTACAACTCTTATCTCCCCGTTTGTCGTTACCTAAGAGCCTCTTTGAAAAAATTTGCCGTGATGAACTCGGATAGTCATCAGAATGAACGTGGCAGCTCACTCGCTCTCATAGCTCAGCGGAAAAAAGCGCAGGGATGGCGGAAGCCTTGGGGAAGGTCAGCCTCATTGATGGCCGGTGAACGACGGGATACAGGCGCGCCAGTGCCAGATCGAAAGACGGCTGGATCTTCCGCGCGTGGCACACGTGAATCCCCCCAGCCAAACTGTCGTTCTGACTGTAGCCATATATACCCCTTTCATGGTTGACCAACCTTCCCTGCTTCCTTCACAAGTACATTTTTGGGGTGACAGTCTATCCTCCCCAGAGAGATCGGACATGTCTTCGCTTATTTTGCTCCTGATAGTCTTGTCGATATTCTTCTGCTGTCGATTCTACTTGCAGCATCCGCAACGAAGGGTTCCCATCTCGGTCACCGGTGCAAAGCAAAGACCTCCAGTGGCAAGAAACCTTACGGCCCTGGATTTCGGCAAGATCAAGCCTTACCAGGGAGACCCGACCCAAGATGTACCAGCGTATTCACGCAGTTGGAAGGGCTCGCGCTACCTGATGACGATGGGTATACGCAAACTCGACGTGAATGACTGGCTGATCATCGACGACTTGTATCCATCCGCACATCGTGACAAAGTCGCACGTCTCCAGACGCCCGAGCGAGAAGTTGTCTTCCAGTATTTGGATGGTACTTACGAAGCATGTCTCGAAGGTCTGGAGATCATCGTGCGGTATCTCACGACCAGATATCCACACGTTTTTGTTCTTGAGGGAGATTATGTCGTGAACAACATTGTGGGCGAACGATACCGAATTCAAGAGCCGATGGACAAGCACCCGCTGGAAGTGGCCTCGCTGCTCGTGTACGAAGACGTACATATCCTGCAGGAGGGATCAGACCAGCTCTATTCCCTGTACGTGACACTTAATCATTTCATCTAAGCAGCTGAGCTAATCGTATGTAGGCGAGCATCGGCCATGTCTTTTCCTCCGGGTTGGACGGCGGAAGAACGAATCGGGATGCCTATTCGCGAATTGCACGCGCCCATTCCGACGTGGAAGGAAAAGTTGCAGGTTTCGATGGAACGGTCTGTAAAAATCGCATGCATGTGCGTAGTAGGTCCCACGCTGGAATTCGCTGACATGGGTCACGCTTTTTGCAGGTATTTTGTCAACATGAAAGTGGGCGGAGGCGTTCAGCGCAACAACCTGTTCATGCAGCCGACGCACGAAAATTATCATCCGGGCCGCTTGGACGCGTATCCACCCTGTCATTCTATCAAGCAGGTCCATCTGAGGATGGAATTACAGAGCTTGATGCGCATGCCGAAGACACGAGCCCTCCTCTTCACCGTTCACCCATGGATCATCCCCGTGACGGACCTGGCCAACGAGCCAGACAAGCTCGAAATCTTGTGGAGTCAGATACGCACCTACCCTGACAACTTCGCCGAATACAAGCTACGACATCTATGGGGAGACGTCTTTGAAGAATTTGCGAAGACGGTATTGAACAAGGCCAGCCCGCAGCCGCGAGATGAAGAAGGGGGTGGAAACTCAAGTGCCCGTGCCCCTTCGAAACCGGCAACAGGTTTCTAGGTCATGCTTACATTGCGGTTGCGGTGGGAGGTACTCTAGAATGTATTCTTGATCTCACTCTCTGTACGAGGAGCAGGAGGTGTACAGCACAGCACACCCCTTAATCTTGTTGTCCGCCTTATTCTTCCGGAGATCCGATCTTTGTGTGTCAAGATATTTTCTGAAAACGCTATAGGCAAGTCGCGCAAACCCCCACTGTCAAGGCAACGTCACCAGAACTCTCAAAACAATGTGTCACGAAGATGGACGCAATTCAAGAGACATATTTGTAACTAAGTTCTCCACGGCGTGTCTCGGTAGAAGGCTAGAACACCACCGCCTTGTCCTCGTATACTTGGGCATGTCGTATGTTTGTGAGCGCGCTAGATTTACCTACAATGGCAATTCATCTACCAGATATACCCCGGCCGCGGGCGATAGGAGTGGGGATGGCTGAGAAGGTTCGCTCAGGCAGAATTATGGCACAATCTTCGGACAGGCTCATTTAGATTGTCAAGTGTGATTCCTGATTTGGCTTACACACAAATCGCCAAGATACAGACATTGAGTCCAGCGAGGCCCCAGACTGGCTTTTTAGCACATCCACCGCCTCTCGTGTGAGAGGGAGTCCATTCATGTGGCTAGAAATCTTTTTCGACCTGACCAAGGAGATCATGGTACATGTGTGAAGCGGCGATGTTTGAAATTCAACACGAAGGCTTTTCCCCCAAATTAGTCAACGGCATGCCGTCCTCTTCTTGCGTTCTACAGTCCTCCCACGTCAGGCGCGTTTGGGTCAAGGACGATTCGTGGATCCTTGAAATCCACCCATCCAAGCATTGGCTGCCACAGTGTGAATTAGAGAGACATCGAGAGGAGGGGGTTCAGTCGGTTAAGAGTCCTTACGTCGCTACAAACAACGTAAGTAAAAGAATCAACCAGCCACGATGAGGGTCTGAGCGCAGCTACTAACCTTACGAAATACCCGAGAATTCGTTGGATCTCGAGGGGCAGAGTTTTGGCAACTTCCAAGGGAACCGCCTAGTCTAGCATGTTAGTGTGCGAACAGAGTAGAAATCCGATGGGCAAGTACAACTCACCAAGTATTGATTTCTGTCCGTAGCAAATACAAACTCGGTTAGTTCTCGATTTCACAGATGTTCGCCCGGATGTGTTCGTGGTTGAACTTACTCTTCTTGCCTGGACACGGATGTGAGTAGACTGCTATCGTGAATAAAGGACTGTAGATACCGTACCTCAAATAGCCTCTGGTCATGAAGCAGCTGAAGAGGAGTCTCTCTTCGTCGTTGGTCGTGTTGGCACTGCCGCCATGATAACAACTGGAAAGCATGATGAACCCATCGCCGGGGCTGAGCTCGGCGTACGCGACGAATTCTTCCTGGGGCGGTTGTTCTGTCGCTTCGAGATGGCTTCCAGGGATGAATCTGGTCGCCCCGTTGGCCTTTGTCGACTTTTTGCCCGCAACGAAGAAACCGATGCCGAGCTCGCGAGAGTTGGTGGCTTTGGGATACTCGTCCACCCGCTCACGGCTCGCATAGTGGATGTCGTCATCTCGGTGCAGGGGCTGATTGCTGCCGCCCGGTCGCACAGAGAAAGCGATGGTATTGTTTAGCTGAGGTCTCGAAATGTTGACCTCTGATCGGTTACCGTGCCATTTGTAAGCCTTTGTCGTGAGGAATTGGTCACAAACAGCCTGATAGACGGGATGATTGACCACCTTTTCCGCAAACAAGCGTGACTTGCCCACAAGACCAAAGGCTCGACGGGTAGTCGGCGGGAAAAACCCGTCGTTTGCAGCCCACGGCTTGTCCGCCTCCAGGGATGGACGTAAGTCACTCTCGATCTGCTGGACTTCTTCCGGGGTCAAAACATTGCGGACAAAGACACCGCCAGACTTCTTCAACGCCGTGACTACATCATCAGGATTGGCGTCCGCCTGGAACTCTGGGACCGGCAAACGCTGTCGAGGTGGCCATTCCTTGGAGTAACCGTCGACCAACCGTTGGTAGGGGATAGTGACATCGTCATACTCGACCGTAGGCGGCGGCTGTTGGGCGGCTCGGGTAATCGTGGTCGTGGCCATGTTGCGAGACCGAGTGTCACCGTAGACGAGGAAATGGTATTGATATTAAGCAGGCAAAGCCAGCTTCTGTGCTCATCGTTCATTGCTAGTTGGATTCCATGCTCCTTTTAGTACACGTACCCGCATCCGGAGGTGCCCCTAGCAAAGCCGAGCTCGGAATTGCCCTCAAACTATGACATTAGTGGGGTGCAGATTCCTGCTGTGATTGTGGAAGTCGATTCTCCTCTCTGCCCTTATCACGGCAGAAGCGTCTAATTTGCCCAATTCGGCAGCTTGTTCCTGCAGAGTTGGGCCTGGCCAATAAGTGGAGGTAGCGACACTCGCCTCCGCGGGTCTCCGACTAGAGTGACGGACAGCAAAATCACTGGACTCGCATAACAACATGGATATTTGATAGAGTCGCACGGTGACGCGAACCGTCGTCTTCTTCAAACCCTTGATCAATTACGCTTGGTCCAACATTTCAAGCTCCTCAAGCCGGGCTGGCATCGTCAATATCATGACTGCACAATTCAAAGGTAAACACCTCAAAGCGAAGGATCACAGGACGAATGCTTATGTCGAAAAGGGTATGCCGTGGAATCAGCTTCCACCTGGGATAGACCCAAGGTTCTTGAAATAGAGCCACCACCGTTCGGTCCCTTCGATGTCGACGTCAAGATCCGCTACTGCGGCGTTTGTGGCAGCGACCTTTTGACTGTCCAGGCAAACGAGGGTAACGACAATTGGGTGAGCGGAGCGCCTTGAGTTGACCAGCCTTGTATGTCCCCCTGCTGACTTAGAGACAGCCCGGAACTGCGTATCCCATCGTTGTCGGCCACGAGATCGTTGGCGAAGCGGTACGAGTGGGTGAGAAGGTATCCAAAATCCGACCGGGGCAGATCGTTGGTGTCGGAGTCCTCTCCTCCACGTGTGGCACATGTCGATTATGCAATTCAGACCGTGAAAACTATTGTGTGCGTAAACAGGCCACCAAACGCGTAACAATGGGCATCCAGGGCTAATGCTTCGACAGTCCAGCCTGGTGGAGACGTACAACTCCAAATACTCGGACGGTTCCATCTCGCACGGTGGGTATGCAAATTACAAACGTATCCACGAAGACTTTGTCTTTGTTATTCCCGAAGGTCTCGAATTGACCACGGCGGCGCCTCTCCTCTGCGCCGGTCTTACGGTGTATGCTCCCTTGGAACAGGCCAAAGTCGGTCCAGCCCATCGAGTCGGCGTCATTGGGATCGGTGGCCTCGGTCACTTTGCCATTTTATTTGCTCAGGCCATGGGTGCTACGGTGACAGCGATCTCGCATAGCGAGAACAAGCGAGCAGATTGCGAGAAGATGGGTGTCTCCAAATTCATCAATACCAGCGTGTCTGAGACGTGGGTCCAAGACAACGCAAAGAACCTGGACATTCTGATATCCACGACGTTTGCCGATGACTTTGCTCTGGAGAGCTACCTCGAGTTGCTGGATGTCGGTGGTAGGCTCGTAATATTGGGCTTGAGCGAGTCGAAACTGCCGAGGATCCCGGCGGGTCTATTGATCGGCTCGAATCTCACCATAGTCGGTTCGATGATTGGGAGTAAGACACAGATGGAGAGAATGCTGGCGCTGGCTGCCAAAATCGATATGAGGGCGTGGGTCGAGGTCATGCCCATGAGGGACTGCGGAAAGGCTCTGGAAAAGGTGGCCTCGGGAAAAGCACGATATCGTTGCGTCCTGGAGGCGGATCTGTGAATATTGTCCACCTCGACGGGACTTTTCAAAACAGCACCAAGCACCATTGCTCCGAATTCAGTTTCGCTTCCCAGGCCCACATGAAATTTTGTTTGCGATACATTTCTTCGCGCCACCAAGTTTGGAGAAAGCGCAAGGTTTCCTGGGCATTGTCGGCCCCATGAAAGAGTTTAGATTTGAGAAACCTTCGCACGAATTCTTGCTGTGACGGGAGTGGCGATACAATACCAAGCATGAAAGGAGCAAACAGTGAACATTCCAGATCCTCGTCGTGACGCAGTATGGCCTCCAGACACTCGAGACCATCATCTCGTGTCTTTTGGACTTTGACATCTTCACCTTTGGAAGGGTTCACCGTGAGGTAGAGACAAATGAAACAAGCTTGGCGATAGGCGTCCACAAGCAGGCGTTCTACGCGCGAAGGATTACAGGCCTCCCAACTCTGGATAATGCCGGACAACTCCAGGCTTTCTGCAAAGTCGATGGGACTGAGACAGGCGAGCGACTCCTCGTTGCCGTTTGTTACAAACAAGTGTTTTGTACGTTGATGGAGTGCAATAATCCGGCTCAAGAGAACGATGAGATCGGCATTTGCTTGCGAGAGGAGACCCTGACGTAGGTTCTGTCTCGAGGGACTGAACGTGCCCGAGGTAAGCGGACAGACGTTCTCATTGAGGGTGATGGAAGCCAGGACGTCGTAGTAGCGATAGAGTTCCAGAGCAAAGCGGTGCATTTCCAAGTCGGCGAGTACTGCATCCTGTCTTTGGGCCGGTTCGTCTTCACACTGGCACAGTCGACGTCCGATCTCGGCAGCCGCGAGGAGGTGTAAACGCCAATGCTGTCTTTTGCCTTGTCCGAGACTGTCCAGCTGCACCAAAAGCAGCGTGCTCACAAATGTTGGCAATAGGGTTGAGGCTGATGGAGATGCTGCTGAGATGTCTGCGCAAACCTTCTTGACCCTCTCCGAGTGGCACTGGAGAGATTCCCCTTTGAGTGCCCAATACTTGCTCTCGACGGCGACGGCAGGCGCCTGAGACGATATGGTGTGAAGCTTGAGTAAATGTTGCGCCGAAATACTCAAGAGGGTGCACAACAGGCCTCTGTCGCGCAGAGCAAATGGCGCCAGCAAAGATCGAAAAGGGACCGCGGACAAGGCCGAGGAGAACGACTCGGGCACCGATCGAAGATAGTGCAAGAGTAGCGCTTGTTCCAGCTCGTCTTTGACACCATCGGCCAAACAGGGTATTGCCTTGTATAGAGCAGACGCAGCTCTTGGTTGTGGGAACTGTAGATCGGTCGACTCTACTCGGTGAGCTTGATCGTCGAGAGATTTCTCCCAGCTTACAGTGCCCGTTCTACATCGCCCCCGGGGAGTAGGACGGTTGGCAGAATCGCTCGGCACGCTGGATTGCGATGCGCACCATTCAAGCGTCCTTGCGTGGGACTCGTCGTCGCTCAGACTGTAGCTAGATGGGCTTCGAGAGGCCAAGTCGACATGGTGCGTTGTTTGGGGTTCGGCAGTCACGGGCAGTGTGGCGACGGGCCTAGTGAATGTCAGCTGCTGGCATCGTCACCAGGACTCCCAAAATACCGCTGCTTCTTGTGGGAGCGCAGGTAGCCGGGCTGCCATACGCTTATCTGATGATAGCCGCCACAGATCAAGGCTGCCCTCGAACAGTTGTTGCAGGACGGTCTCTGCTCGTCACATTTCTTGTGACGCTTCCGACATGTCACACAGCCTGTTTTGGTTCGTACGGCTCTCCACGTGGACATGCTGGGATCCGAGGAGGAGGAAACATGAGGAAATGTCTCTGTGCGGACGTGGTCGACGAGAGAAAAGGGAAAGTCGTCGTGGGGAGAGACAGCAGGGGAAGATAAAGAAGTAAGAACCGTCATCGGTCATTGGACAAGCCCGAATTTCTCCACATCGCCCGCCGCCCTTATCGAACTTGAAGATGGCGCCTGTTGGACCCATCGAGGCGGACAGTTGAGCTTGTCAATACACACAGCCAACCAGCGTCTCTCAAACATGAGATTTTGAACCTGTAACCGAGCGAAGTGGCAGGGTGGGCAGGAGCCATACGGCTTGGCATCGAGGACGCCGGTTCTGCGGGACACTTCCGGGTGTCTCGCCGAGAGTGTTGCGCTCACCGATAATCTACCAGCATTCATAGCACGTGAGAAGTTTAGTTCAGCAACAAGTACTCGGTATACATCACTGATTGAGCCCATGTGTGACGGGTGTGCATGGGAATGTCTGCGTGGCCTTTCATACTAGCCAACTGCTGTGTCGCACCTGCCGAAGCCATGACAGGCAACATTCCGTCGAAAATGTCTTTCAATCAAGCTTGGCTCCCTGAAGTTTTCTTGGCCGCGCGTTGAACATTGAAATGCGACCACGGAAAGAAGCAACTTCTGAGCCAGAATTTGAATTGCCAATCGGGATATAACATGGTGTTTTGGCCCGTGGCAGTATCGACATACCCCAACTTGTACACCCTGTGGCCCAGACAAGTTTGGCGGCCGCTGAGTGGATCTACGCGTTATCTCTCTTTTCCGCGTTGGGGACGACAGAGATGGCTGTGGCCATGGCCTCTTCCTTGAGCACGGGACGAAGAAAATGAAGGGTAAAGTTGATCTGACATTCCGTGGAGAAGACGACGGAGAGGTGTCCCGCTGCGGTGTTCGGCCCCATCATGATGAAGAAGTTCGGGAAACTCGACACGCAGCTTCCATGATAGGCCTGCGCGGCCCCGTCACAATGTCGTTTCCATTGCTTGGTGGTCAGCTTCAAGACCAGGGAACGAAATGTATGCTGCAACAAGCCACGTACGTATCCGTTCAGACTGATTCCCCCCTGACCATAGACCTCGAGACGATGCAGGATCTGCCCTGTTTTGAGGCCATTGGCAAGCATGATCGCATCCCAATGGATTTCTCGGCCCGACTGCGTTTTGACGCCCGTCTCTGTGATTGTCTGGATCGGATCTGTGGCCACTAACTCGACACTGTCCTGGTGCAAGCGAGCAAGATAATCAGTGTCCATGACTTTACGTTTGCAGTCAATCTCAGTCTTGGGAATCAGCACATCATAATATTTGACAGGGGCAGTTCGCTTGATGTAAGTAATTTGCGTGCGTTTCAGGGAATCTCTGATTCTTTTTCCGGCGTTGATCTTAAACCCATAGAAGTCGCGTTCCAGGGTACAATAAAGCCAAGAGCGGCAGAAGCGCATTGCAAAGGGAATTTAATCAGTACGACCTTCTCTTGCTCCCGAGTGTTGTTCATCATGTACCGATAACCACTACTTCCTTGGCCTTCCAGTCGAACGAATGGTCCCAATGGACCGAGTGAAACAGTGACCCTGTGTAATTTTGTGCGCCTTGGGTGTTGCAGTTGTTGGGGATGGACAAGGCACCGACGGCCGAGATGACAACGCGTGATCTCCTTTCGAAAGTCCGGCCTGTCTGGCTATCGAGTATTGTGACGAGCCAAGTCGATGTTGCTTCGTCGTAGACAGTCTTCCGGACAGTGGTTTGAAAGTGTGTGCGTGAAGGAATCGCATATCACGCCGCGACATCCTGTAGGTTGTCTTCGATTTCCGACTGCAGTGCAAACTTCTGTGACTGGATTCAGGGCAAACGAGAATGAGTCGAAATGAGAGGGAACCTAAGTCAGATGGTCAATCTCAGAGATGTGTGCTTGGATCCGATATGTCATACATCACATCCACAGCCTGGATATGAATTTACAAATCAAGTGCCTCCAAGTTTCCGTTCCTTCTCATAGATTTCAAAGGAGGCTTTCGGCAATTTCCCCTACAATTGTATAGCGAAGCCAATTCCAGAAAAGCCACCACCGATAACGATTACGTCTATGCCCACTGCCATGTCGGCTGTGGCAAGCAAGCACGGGAAGAAAAGAGACACTCTCGGAGTAAGTGGACATCTTCAAGAGGGCAATCAAACTGAGTTGATGTATTGAGTTCCATCCACGGTCGTGCGTTTGTGCATTTTTGGACCAAACCGGCGGCTTGGGGGCCTTGCAAAGGATCATTTCCACCAATATGGGGAGCTCATTCACACTTTTGTCGTAGACGTTTCGCAACCGAGATGTAGGAAGAAGCATCCTACCCAAGCATCGGATCTGGGAACTCTGTCTGGCAAGTGTACCTTGACTGTGTCAATCAGGTCTGGCCGTCCGAAGTCCCTGTACTGACTGAGTGCTGTAACAATTCTGTCTAACGAGTGCCACTGCGTCCGTCCGAATGCGGTAATGTAGGCGCCAGTTCGACTGCTGACACTCGTCTTTGACAGGCGTACGCCACACCTTGCCACGTGGGGCAATTCCGGTTCGGTGATGCTAGACTACCTCAATTTTTCTTCTAAAAAGCTACCCTGCATCAGAATCGGGCTTCTTTGCCGCGCTTCCGGGATTCGTTGCCAGGCTGTCAAAATAAGCCTCTACACTGGGCGTTAGTAATCAACTGTAGGTAAATAACATATCAGACTACTACAGAAGAGACTACTTTGCCGCGTAGCACCTCCACGCTCAGCGGTGATTCATCACCATGGCTAGAACACTTTAATTGATGTGATTATCAATGGCAAATAGATACCATTGGCCTGGGATCCCCTGGATGTGATTACATGGACCCTCTCTCATGCCTTTGGCTCATCGAGCGCAGCCACCTCAATCTCAACCTGCATACCCTCCTCACCTAGTTGGGAGATACCAACACAAGTCCAAAGAGGTTGATGATTTGGCATCCAATGTCGGAAATTCCGGACCATATGATCCATGGCATCTTTACCCAGTGGAAGGTGGTAAGACCTCACTCGATAAACCTGACTCCATCCAGCACCTCCCGCATCCCTCAGAGCCAGATCGACGTTTTCGAAAGCCTTGTCGATTTGAGCTCCCAGTTCTTCAATGACAACGCCCGTTCTTGGATCCCAGCCTCCTGTTACAGTGAAGCTACGATCAGCTGCTGGGCACCATCGCGCAATGACCATCTGCAGCGTACCTTGTCCAGAGATTTCGAGCCGGTTGCCGACGCGGGCAGTCTGGCTGACGGATAAATTCTTCAGGTTCGCTTGTCCCACGCCTGCGTAGCTGGATAATGTAAAGTTACCCATGATGGGAGGCTGGGACTCGTCACTTATAGGAAAGCTGTATGGCTCAAGAAAGCTGGCAGGCAGAGACAAGTTTGCGAGGTTGGTCAGAGGACAAGCCTGCGCAGTATATATACACTAGCGCCGATGACAGTAAAAGGACATACATACCGAGTACATGGGAGGTAAAATCATCGGTTCCACCTCAGTACAGTATAGAGCTTCTAGTCGTCGGCAAAAGGTCCTGCAGCCCAGGGCTATAGGGGAAAAGCCCGGAAGCCGGGGCGGCCCAAGGCTATACTGTACATATTAGACGAGCCCAGGGCGGACCAGGGCTCCCAGCCAACCGATGGGTGAGGCACGGGTTGGCGTCATCCGGGCTCAGCCCCGCGAGACGAGGGTGTGCACAGGGCGGCATAATTTTCTGGCCCGAAGCGGGTGCGTGGCCTGCAGCTCTCCCCCACATTGGCACTCATCTGTCACCATCACGCACTTATTCTAGACCTCAGATCCAAGACGACGACGTAACCGCACTTCTGACGCAGAGGAAAAAAAGAAACAATGGCAACTCTCAAGGGGCCCGGTGCTCCTCAGAAACACGATGGCTCCGGCCTGCGAATTGCAATAGTCCATGCTCGGTGGAACACCACCATAATCGAAGCCTTGGTCAACGGTGCAAAGAAAGCCATGCTGGCTCAAGGGGTGAAAGAGGAGAACATCGTCATTGAAACGGTCCCCGGATCGTACGAACTTCCCCTCGCAGTCCAACGAGTCTATGCGGCCTCCCAAATACAGAGCACAGCGAGCGCAGTTGCAGGTGGCCTGGGCAGTCTCACGAGTGGAATCGGAGACCTTCTGGGAGGCAGTAACTCGACGACAGATCTGCAGGGAAGTCTACAACCAGGGCCGCCGGAGCCAGAAAAGAAAGACGTGAAAGGATTGAGGCATACCTTTGATGCCATAATAGCCATCGGTGTGCTCATCAAAGGCGAGACCATGCACTTTGAATACATCGCCGATGCTGTGAGCCATGGCCTCATGAGAGTCCAACTGGACACCGGTATCCCAGTGATCTTTGGTCTCCTTACAGTGCTCAACGAAGGCCAGGGCCTGGCCCGAGCTGGTCTCGAAGGAGGCACCGGCAAGGAGGCTAAGGGACATAACCACGGGGAAGACTGGGGCAATGCAGCCGTCGAACTTGGAGTGAAGAGAAAGGGTTGGGGGGAAGGAAAGGTTGCTGGAACGTGACCTAGGCAGAACTGCCCGGTACTTGTTTTTGGTTTCTAGAGGCACCACAAGCCGAGAAGACTCTCTGGTGTCAAGCCTTGCTATTCGAGAGAGACGTGGAAAGCCACAAAACTAGATGTCCCGCCGATGGTGGTTTCTGCCTCCTTTTTTCAACTGGAGTCCCCATCGACCATCTCCAACGCCGCGGTAATGCTACAGTGCTGGAAAAGCGAAAACAATCACTCCTGCATGGCATCCTCTTCCTCGTCGTCCTCATCATCTCCCTCCAAGCTCTTCTTAGCCGCTTTCTCGGCCTCTTCGAGTATCTCTTGTGGAACTTGCTCATGTCGGCCTTTCGTTGGACCGTCGAGGCTCGAGATCCACGTCATCTCGAGTTCAAATTCCTTGTCTTTCGAGTCTTCATGTGCAACGTAAATGATCCTAGCAGCTTCCATGACGGCTTCCTTGAGAGTAAGGGCACAGGTGGGTGAGCCTAGGTCAAGCTTTTCCAGCTCAGCTTTGGCAGCTTGCCGTCCTTTGCCAGTTGCAGCACCATAGTAGCCCTAAGAGATTGCAGTCAGCACTGTCATTTGTGATGATTCTTTTGACATACCCAGTAAAGCCCGCTTGGCTCGATCATGTAAAGCCCTGGACCACCTCGTTTGACAGCTTCACCTTCGGACTTGCCACCTGCACCCGACGCCGGACCTAATCCGACTTGACCGTCTACACCGTGTTCCGCTTCAGAATCCCAGCCTCCCAAAATGGCTGTCACACCGAAAGGCCGTACGCTGGAGTACAATGTGTATGCCTGCACATAACCCCCTACTCTTGACGCCAGAGCATGTATGGGAATGGGGGCTTTGTATGTTTCTCTCCAACTACTGGCCTCGTCCCTTGCTCTGCTGATGAGGTGACGACCGTCTGGGAGTAATCCTGACGTAACAATTCCTGCGTTGCGGTCGACCGTGGATATTCTCTTGTTGGAGCCGGGCTTTAGGAGCTTCGAGGTTATGATCTTCTCGCAGGCCAGAACGACACCATGCTTTGTCCGAATTCCGATACACGTCCCACCGTTTTCCACTGCTTTGACGGCGTACTCGACCTGGAAATTTCGGCCATCCGGCGAGAAGACAGAGTTGGAGAGATCGTAGCCTGTACCTATCGACGTCTGGACACCGGACAATTAGTATTTTTGCTAGACCTCGATGGGACTATAAGTGACATACCATTGCGGTGGGATAGCTTGAGACGATTCACAGTGTTTTGCAGTAGTGTGGCTCAATACAAGTCTCTGAATTAAAGAGGTCCCGTCAGGGTTTCGTTTGGTCTTGGGGATATCGAAAGGTTGATTGTACAGGGAGAACTTCTGTGAAGGCCAGACTTCATTGAATGCGATGCAGGCTCCCCAGAGCCGCGCCATTGCAGACGCATAGCATGAAGCCCGAAGTAGACTAGTCCTGCCAAGGCGCGCATCGGGAGATTTTGGCGTGTTTGATAAGTTTGGAGTTTGGGCAGCAGCGACAGGCGCTACGTGTCATCAGCACCTTCCGACTTGGTCATGTGTGTGATGATGTCTCCCCCTTCCAACTTGCTTTCCACCTCGTTCAACTCCGGCTTCTTCTCTGTCTACAACTTCTTCCCAACTCCAAATCCTCAAATCCTCTTCTCAGATTCCTCTCTCCACTTGGCGGCCCTCACGCTTTGATGTTGAGCTGAGTTGCCGCTGTCTGTAAACCGACAGTCCTCGCAAAACGCACTTTACAAAATCCTCCTTACCCCGCTCCTCTCCTCCCCTTGACCTCGTCCTCTCCCCTTTGACTTCATATCTCTTCACAAACAGATCAACAGCTTCCTGACTCCAGGCTTCTTCCGGACCGGACCACTCAATTCCCTTTTGGACTGGACATCTGGATCCTAGGTTGCTCTTTGTTCTGGATCCTGGACCATCGACCTGCTCACAAGTTACCCCGGATTCGGAAACCGGACCTCCTCGCTGGACTCCCTGGAGCTTCTATAGCAGACTTGTGTGTTAGTTAGTACAATACGAATTTGAAGCCTAAATCCCAGAATTTTTGCTTCCTCTTCCCTGCCTGGTTCTCGTTTTGCAGACACAAGGATCTCTAACCGCTGGTGTTTTTCTCAAAATCTGAAGTCATCAGATTATGGCGTCGGCTTTTCACAGATGCCAGCATTGTGGCTACGAGACAGACCTCTCGAACAATCTGGCGGCGTTTGAAGAGAACCCTCATTGCAGACAGGTTTGTCCGATTCCAATCCCTGTTCATGACCTTCTGATTCTTTGATCTAGTGCGGACTATCGGCCTCCGAGAGCGATATCAAGATGCAGGACGACCTGATCCACATGATGACACGCAACCTGCATCTCGGTTCCTTTCAGCCTCCATCCGACATGTCGATGCCCCCGACTCCTCAAGTCGTCCCGCAGTCGACACCGATCACGTATATCACACAACACTATCACCATTCAGCACACCAGGCACCACATGATCTTCCAATTTCAACGGTCCTAGAACAGTCTGGCATCAATGCCTCGGTGTTGTTCCCATCTCAGTTGCAGTTGTTCAAGAATGCGGAGCCTGAACAAAGGTTGAGGTTGATAGAGCTTTGGCAAATCGCGCCTCCAACGTATGGCAACCAGATGCACCCTGATAATTTGGCGAATTGGCCACAGACAAGCATGGAAAGAGAAGAACAAGCGGCCAAGTATCGATTGCAGTTGGCGGAACAAGAGAAACTGAAGAATTTGTGTGCTCTTCCTACGGTTGACCTCAAGCACACTGCCGAGCCGTACATACTGCATGGCTACGAGGCACAGCCAAACATACACGGAGTTACAGCTTCCACAGAACTTGGGCCCATGATGATGAAGGAGGATAACTACAAACAATCAAAGGACCCGGCGTACAACAGCAGAGAGTGGTGGCATTTGTCCGACGATGAGCCGATGGAACATCAATACGGCATGCTCCAGCAGATGTATGGGTATGGAATTGATTATTCGGTTGCTAGACGCGGCGATGGGGATGCGGAGATGTCTTGAGATCTCGATGCAGATGTGACTTGACAAGAATGCATCAGTTGGAGGTGGCGGCATGACGTTGGCGTTGATGTTTTTGATCTCATGGTTGCATAGATTGGATTGTAGATAGTGATCGACCTCCCTCCTTTGTTCAATGGAAGATGCACATAAACACACGAACATGATTTGGAGCATTAACATTCAGTCATCAAGTGCCTAAGTTGTCGCTTGGGAGGCGGGAAGCGTAGAAAATCCACCGCTAGAGATCTATTCGCTGGACCATTTTCCTGGAAGGGGTTGTTAGGACCGCAGCCAGTTATGTAATTGCGGCAAGGGTAGAGGCACGAACAAAGCATAGCTCAGTTCATATGTACTACTGAAGTGCCGCAGAGACATTGGTAATCGTTCTGTGAGACGACCTAAAGGATCGACGCCGTATCAAGTCGCAGCAATGTGGCGGCAATGAGTTGAAGTGTCTGGAATCAATCGAGTCGCTCAACCTCGAGCTTGTCATTTCGCAGACTCCCACGTCAATCTCGCTACGCTCCGCATGTCGTGAAGTCCGGCTCGATTCAGTTTTCACGTCGACCCTATCGAAAACCAGCCGCCCTTGTCGCAAATGGCTTCAATGAGTAAGAGAACCCAGGCGCGGAATGAGCGGGAGCTCCACGAGTTGCTCTCCGTTGCCGGGAATTCACAATGCGCCGATTGTGGTGCGAAGAACCCGGCGTGGGCGAGCTGGAATCTGGGTGTCTTCCTCTGCATGCGATGTGCCTCTCTGCACCGTAAACTGGGCACTCATATCTCCAAGGTCAAGTCTCTGAGCATGGACACCTGGTCAACAGAGCAGGTTGAGGTGGGTAGAATCACCCGTTCCTCCTCGAGCGCATGTAGCCACTGACTGACACCTGAACACAGAACATGAGGCGCAACGGCAACACCGCGGTCAACAAGATTTACAATCCCAAGAACAAGATGCCCGACATGCCCTTTGATGTCGACGAGGTCGACTCGGCCATGGAAAGATTCATACGCAAGAAATACCAGGAAAAGAGTCTCTCGGACGGCCGACCCGAACCTCCTCAGCGCGACGACAATCCACCGTCCAGCTATTCCAGACCTCAGGGAGGAGATCTCGATTCTCCTCCGCCCCCTCTACCTCCCAAGAAGGGCAAATTCTTTGGATTTGGTCTTCGAGCCTCGTCTTCCGCCTATAGCCTGTCGAAGCACGATAAGAAGAAACACCACAAAGAGCCCCGGGTAGATAGCACGTTCCGCATTCCTACTGGCGATTACGATTCACGAATGGACGATGCGCGCTTTGAGATGACCGATGCCGAGTTGCAGACGAAGTTGGCGACATTGCGAGACATGGGCTTCAGCAACACGGACCGCAACACGAATTTGCTGCGACGGTTGAATGGGAATGTGGAAAGGACAATTGAAGCCTTGGTCCAACTTGGGCCGAGTGAGAATGGAAATACTGCTTCGTCCAGGAGGCAGGGACCTACACCTACTGCGAGTCAAGAGCCTACACCCAAACCTCAAGAGCCGTCGTACAACCCATTTACATCCGTGAACAACCAACAAACTGTTGGTCTGTCATTGGCAAAACCCCAAGAGCCCTCGACTCCGACCAGCGGAACAAGCTACAACAGCAACAACCCCTATGCTCAGCCTAATCGCAGCCCGTCCCAGACGGGACTCGAACAGTCCTTTCAGTCCATACAAGTTTCTCAGCCCTTGTTCCCCCACAGTACCGGAGGATATCCAAGCCAGCCGCCTCCTTTGCAGGACCCTCGGTTTCAGTATTCAATGACACCTCCGGTCACGTCGACGCAATTCCAGCAAGGATATGTGGCGTCACCAGCAGCGATCCCTGTCACGAGCAATCCCTTCTTCCAACCTACCCCAGTGTCGGCTCAGTCGACGGGGAACAACCCGTTCCTTTCCCAGGTACCTTCATCTCCTTCGTCGAACCCTTTCTTGAACGTACAGTCACCTGGGCAATCAGCACAAGTGCAACAACGACAAAGCTCGCTCCCAGCAAGTTTCAATCCCTTCGGGATACCGCCCTCCCAAGCTTCGCCGCCTCGGCCAGTTCAACAACAACCCCAGCTGCAGCAACCCCAAGACCTGTTCGGGACTGTCCCTCAGAATCAACCCCAGCCGAACAATCCTTTCCAGCAACAGGGCATACAGCAGCAGCAGCAGCAGCAGCAGCAGCAGTATTCTCAAGCGATGAACTCTCAAATACCCCAAACCCAATCTCCTTTTGCCAATTTCCAGTACACTCAACAGCAAATACAACCTCAGCAACAGACACAATCGCAATCGACACCAATGTCACCGCCTCAAGTTCAGCAACAGCCATCATATTCACAGCCGCAATTCTCTCAGCAGAACCAGCAGCCTATGATGCCCCAACAAACAGGCCGCTACGACAAGAGTTCCATCTTGGCTCTTTACAACTACCCTCAACTCGCTCTTCAGCCACTGGCATCGATCCCAGAACCTGCATCTGAACAGCAACAGCCGCAACAACAACAACAACCTCAACAACCGGTCTCATTTAACCCCTCGGGCGATATTTTCGGCAACAACCATCTGTCGCCGGCGAAACGTAGCGCAACCATGCCCGTTTCGCTGTCGAACATGCATTCCGCCGGTGGAAGCGGGAACCGAAATCCATTCATGACCAACGTGACCAACACCAATATGAACACCGTCAATACAAACGGGGCTTTCAATCCTTTTGGAGGTGCCGGTGCCAGTGCCGGTGCCAATCCATTTGGATCTCCTCACCAGGGGCAGGGGCAGGTCCAGGTCCAGGCTCAGACCCAGAATCCCGAACAAAGTTTCCAAGGTTTTGCGCAGCAGCAGTCCTACGGGCAGGCGATGACCATGCCCGGCGGCATGGGTGCCGGGATGGGAGGCATGGGAGGCATGGGAGGAGGAGCACCGAGACCACAACAGGGCATCGCATCGCGGCACGCCAGCGCCGAGAGCATGAGCATCAACAACCTCGAGGCAGGAAGACACAGCCCCGACGCCTTTGCGAATCTGAGCGCGCGATATATGAGGTGACGGGCTTTTTGTTCGTCACCTACGACTCGAAAGGAGGGAAGGCGAAGCGAAGCAAGGGCGTTTGGGAGAAGCACTTGTGACCGACTCGACGAGTCTTTGTCTTTGATGGGGAGCGAGCAGCGGGCAGGGGGCATGGGCAAGGGCAAGCGCGACGGGAAGTAATCATCTTTACCACGGGTTTTGACATCTCACGTAATTTTTTCGATCATGATGGCGTATAGCCGGGCTGGCTGGCGGGCTGGCGGCAGGCGGGAGTTGTTGAGAAAATGGGAAGAAAAGAAGAAAGGAAGAAGAAAGAAAGCAAGAAGGAAGCAGGATGAAGTAAAAAGTAGCATATAGGTATGAGGAGTCACTCGTGAACAACGGCATATAATGAATTGGCCCACCGACCAGCTCACATATCACTCAGTGGTCCTTATATCTGAGGGTGCCTACCCACCTACTCACAGGACCTGGTACTTACATGTACGATGTACAGTACTTGGGTAGTCAGCAGGTCCACCCTCCCCTGCGCCTATACTAGTATACTATCACTTAGAGCCTCTCTCCCTGCTCTCGCCCTGCGAAACGAGGTCCTCATGGGACAGCGTGATGCCATCCTGGGTTCAACCGACTTGCTCAACCAGACTTCTTGCCCCCTTCCGTGGAAACCCTCTCGCCGCCGTTTGCCAACCCCTGTTCTATGTCTGATTCGGGAACCACCATCTTGGGCCTGAAAAATTGGTCGACACGAGAATTATATCGGCCGTGTGAATTGGTTTGTTTCTCTGCGACCTGGACCCGTTGCTTGTTTTCCTTGCTATTGCCCTTGTTATTGCCCTTGCTGTGCTTGCTATTGTGCTTATTGTGGTTGTTGTGGTTGTTGCCACCTTCATTTCGACGTCGCTTCTCAAAGAAATCCAGGACTTCATTGATTTTAAAGGCCATGATAATCAACGGAACAGCGAGAGCAGCGGTCGTCCCAACTGTTCCAAAGGGTCAGAATTGCAAAATCCCACAAACTCTCAGACACCTAGGGAGAAAGACGCACATATCCTCGAAAATATCCATTCCGATGGATAGCTGACATTGTCACTTTGGTCGTGCGGGAATGATTGAACATTCAATGCGTATATAGACGCCAAAAATGACATGGGGAGCTGGAAACACCACTGGGTTAGTTACCTGGATGTGTACTTGGAGAGCGGGTGCCAGGTAGATGTCTCACGAATATAATTGTGACGATGGTGAAGACCATGATTGTTCTACCCTGTTTGGTCGTCGCCTCTGCTTGCTTGCGTGCTTCGGCAGCTTCGAGGATGTTTGCATCCTTCTGCTTGAGATCCAATAGATGATTCATCTGCTTGCGTTAGTGCCTGCCTCTCACCAAACGACGAGCAGAAATTGCCTCACAGCATCGTATGCCGTCCGAACATCTTGTTGCATCTTTTTGATCCGCGCAATTCGCGTGTCGATGTTGCTCCGTTGTCGGTAATAGTCGAGTATCCGATCATTTGCGACAACCCCCTTTGCCTTGGAATCCTTCCCCCTAGTGGCTAATTTGGAGAGTGTCTTCAGCACAACATCTTGATCAGTACAAATGCTCCGAAGAATGTTTAGCTCGTCACGTATATCTTTGATCTCTTCGAGAAGCGCAATTTCTTTCTCCAGCCGAAGTTCCAGATTGGGGGAATGACTGTCGTGGTTTGTTTGCGTATTCTTGTGCCGAGCGGCAATACTTCTCCTGAAATCTTCAAAGTATTGAACCTCTTTGTCCATCTGAAGAAAGGTATCAGCATACCTTGAAAAGACTTCCGTCTCAGTCGGGAAACTCACCACAACACCAATCGAGTCTGCAAATACATGGAGGAAGGACTCAGATGGGCTCGAAGCCGTTCCACCATCAGCCTTGACCTTGCATTGATCCACGAAATCCGTACAAAACGACGTTATTAAAGCTGCCATTTCATATACGGTTCGAGTTTGCGGTCTTATGTCTTCGCTGATGTGCTTGCTTATTCTGTGAATCAAGCGGTCCTCACCATTTTCTGTCGCAGATTCTGCCCTTTCGCCTGCCTCTGGATTTGGGTCCCATCGATCTGGAAAGCAGGTAATGATAGTTTCTGGAGTAATCAGATACTGCATCACAAACATAATGTAGACAATACGCACTGTCGTCAATGATCCAGAGCCATAGCTGGTCTACCATGCACATTCGAAAATCTCGACTGTCCATATCTGGTTTGCCAGTTGGAGGAGGCGGGGCGATATCCGATCCAGTATTTTTTCCATCAGAGGCTGAAGATTTTAACCGCAGCAAGTCAAGAATGCGCCGGAAAAAGTTGACATTCTGGTTGTGTTCGTTCTGGTTGTCAAGTTGATTCTCGTCGCTTCGCCGCCCCCTGCATTTGGCATTTTGATAGCGTCGCACCACTTGATCCGCGTCGCGTCTTCTTGTGTCCGGCAATGAAGAGTAGTGATATTGATCCAAGGTCCGAGACACGTGGAGATGATGAGTTGTGACATCGTCCCTCGGCGACAAACCCAAATAATATCGTAGAAGTTGAGTCTCCTTGCTGGTCTCGAGCTTTCCAGAGTAGATTTCCACGGCCTCTTGTAGATCCTCAAGACATCTGAAGACCGACAGAGAAGGAGATGGGGTAGACTCTCGCAGTTGTTCGATGGCTCTTTCAAGGGTTTTCGGTTCATCATCGAGGTTGGCGCGGCTATCGTTGTCAGTCTTTTCGCGAATGGTTTTAATAACTTCTTCGATCGCCGATAGTGTCCTGCAGCAAGAGCTGTCCAAAAGGAAGTTAACCCTCCCAGGGCTGACTTTCTCCTTCTCGACCTGTGCCAAGGCTTCATTGATGCTTGAGCCCAATATGTCTTTTTTGATAACATTGAAGTCGTCCGGACCTTGTTGCACCTGCTGGACCATTCTAATAGCATTTCGCCAGTGTCTTTGGCCCTGGACAGTTTCCCAAGTCACGAATGGTACCTTTGAATAGTTAGCAGGTCCCAGCAAACCACTGACATTGCTCTGGATTCGATTTACCCAGATGGCCATTTTGGATCCCTTCAGGCCAGTCATTCCTCTAGTGTCGTACACTCTATCTTTGTCCCTTTTTTTGGTCGTCTCGACGCTTTGCCCTGCTTTCGCGGCCATGGTGGGCTTCTTCTGCTCAGGGTTGGTCTCGCCTTTGCCTGGTCCGTTCGATGCGCTGGGGACTACGCCATTACCCGTTCCACCTGCCCTGGGCCTTGGTTCGGTGGCGTTAGAGGGGGGGGCGTTGGCACGAGACATTTGTGACCCAACATTTTCGACGTGCTCAGTCGCGGTGGCAGTGCCTTCGAGGTCGCCCTGTTTGTTTTCCGAGGGTTTCGGGGGGCGTTTCTCCTGATGTTCTGGTCCAGGAAGATTTGATTTTTTCTGCTTGTTTGGTTCCTCCTGAGTAGGGAGTTCTGACCTCTTGATTGGCGCATCTGTCTTTGACGCCGTCTGTTGTCTCCGATCCGTGGAGATGCTGCTTGCCTCTTTACTAGAGGTAAAATCAATCTGATGAAACTGAAACATAGTCAATGATTTAGATAGACTCGAAGCAATGGGGATGGTAAAGTATCTCACGCGCACGCCAGTGTTCATAAATCGGCAATGTGCATCTCCCAGATGTTCACCATCGCGACGGTTCTCTGATATGAAGTTTTCCACTCGAGCATACTCCTCGGCTGTTTTATTCGCGTCTTTAGAGATTCTTTGCACAAGGTCCTGGCCAAAATGTCAGGACAAGCTCAACAACTCGGTAGGCACTCTCTCTATTTTACCTTAAGCCAACGCCACTGCCCAGAATCAGTCAAAAGAGACAATGGTCGAGGATAGGCGCCGTCACTCACATTGTTTGCTGGAAGATGTATCCACCTGAATTGGTGTTCAAGCTGCTTGATATCCCAACTCCGCCGAATTTCCTCCATTATCTTTTCTGGTCCACTCCCGTATATGATGTCGTAGACGCTTTTCTGGATTGGAAGGGTGGTGTCTGTTCCCTCGGAGAGAGAAAAATCGACGATATTCGCAGTAAAGGTGTTGCAGACATCTGTCGGCCCCTCTCCTGGAGAGTCTGGAAGTTTCAGAGGAGGCGGCTTTCGAGGAAACCGTAAAGGATTCTCAAGAAGCGTCTGGATCACTTTGGCGCGCAACTTCTCAGCGAGCTTAAGAGCCGACATCCCGTTCTCGATTCTCTCCTCGGGTTTAGCACCACTGCGCAGCATGTCCTGAACAATGCTTTTTTCTTGAGTCTGTACTGCCCAGTGAACTGCCCAGTGAAGCGGAGTCCATCTGTTCGTCTCTTCACCTGGCTCATCTGACATTTTCTCCAACAGATCCTGAGCGATGGTGTTGTATCCCTTCCTCACAGCAATTTGGAGCGCTTTGAGTCCATCTTCCTCCGGGAGCACCTTTCTTCTGGGATTTCCCATCAATTTCTCTGCCAATAATTTCGCAAGCTTTTCTTGACCGCCAAATGCAGACCAGTACAAGGGTGTTGCGCGTGTTACGTCGTCCGGGATACCACTCCTCAAAAGAGTGGGATCAATAGATAGGACGCTCTCCAATAGACATTGATCTCCTTTTCGAGCTGCCCATTGCAACGAACAGCGTGCTGAACTGGGCGATCTTTCCCAGTGACTTCCATTCATCCACAATATGTCTCCAACTGACTTGGCCTGCTCCTCTGTCATGGAGAACATGTTCCTTTCTTCCCCGGATCCAGTAGATATCAAATTTGCCTCCCAGTCAACTAGAAGCTGCACCACATCTACTGCGCCGCTCCTTGCAGCAGCAGCAAGCGCGTATTTGTTGCGGTCGACCTGGGCAGTGATCGTATTTTTCATTTTATCCAAGAGGAGTTTCACCACCTCAAAATGACCCTCTGCACAAGCATGGTGTAAGGCTGTATTCCCGTCCTTGTTCTCGGCCGCAATCATCTCTGTGATTTCTTTCTTTAATGATAATAATAATAATTCCATTGCATCTTTGCTTCCTTTGTCTGCAGCCCAGTGTAAGACAGTCCAATCGTCGTCGTCCCTGGCATTGCTGACAACTTTGTGATCCAGTAGTTTTCTGATGGCGTCCGTTCTGTTGTTATAAGCAGCCAGGTGCAATGGCGTTCCCCCATTTCGTTGTTTTGCTTCGGAGTTTGCACCCTTTTCAATCAGGATATCTATCAACTCTGCATGACCTTGAACGCTGGCCAAGTGTAAAGGCGTACATCCATCCTCATTCCTCCACTCGAAATCCGCACCCTCCTCCAATAGATGCTCAACGACACGCCTTTTTCCCATTTCTGTGGCCCAATGTAATGCCGTTTGTCCATCGGCTGACACTGAATCAATCATGGCGACACGCTGCCCCTGCAACAGCAGCTTGACAACCTCTGTGGAGCCTCCTTCGGCAGCCCAGTGAAGGGGCGTCATGCCATATTGATCATTCGCGTTGACATCGGCACCGTTGTCGAGAAGGAGCCGTGAAACCTCTTCTTCCCCAGCTATGGCGGCAAAATGTAAGGGTGTGCCACATTGATATAGGCTGGAGACACGAGAGCCCTTTTCAAGTAACAACTCTGCAACCTTCCGCTGTCCTCCGGCTGCTGCCCAGTGCAAGAGAATCATGTCCTTAGATTCTACTTTGCTCATCAACTCCCGCACCAGTGACAAATGCCCGCTGTAGGTCGCATGTGCTAGTTGTATCATCTCGTTGGTATCTAAGGACTTGAGTAAGTCATCCTGGGGAGGTAAGAGCTTGACAACGTAGATCTCTTCGCTTTCAAAGGCCCTGTATAATGCTGTTTTTTGACCCTTGTCCAAGGCTGTCGTATCGACTTCGCACTTGAGAAGAAGCTTGACGACGTCTTCGCTGCCATGTCGAGCGGCTACATGTAGAACTGAGTCTCCCCGACCATTTATATCATTCACAAGCAGAGCCGTCTCTTCCTTGCTGGTCTTGATAGTCGCTGTCTTTCCCTTTCCAAGTAGAAGCTCGACACCTTGTAGGTAGTTTTCTGATGCTGCTTGGTGGAGAGCTGTGTCTCCCGTCGTGGTTTCGATTGTGATTGTTGCACCAGCCTTCAACAGCAGCTCTATGATAGCTTCTTCTTTCCTTACAGTGGCTTGGTATAGGGCCGTCTCCCCATCTTCGTCCTGCGCATTGACATCGAGATCATTCCGGGCCAGTAGAATGCGTGTCAGTTCTGTTCTTCCGTACAGTGCTGCTTTGTGGAGGACAGTGCAACGGGATTCGTCCAACGCATTGATGTCTGCCCCCGCTTTAAGACAGCGAATCAATTCCTGAGCATCGCCGTCTTGTGCTGCTTGCAACAACTTCTCGCCAAAATCTTCATGAGCCCCATTGATGTCGGGCCCATAGACTTGCTGCACCTCTGCAGGGGCAGTGGAATCTGCCATGTTTGATGGTTGACGGAGGCGTAAGGCTGAGGCTTGAGCGCCGGGTGTCAATATGGACCAGAGTGGCGTCTAAAAACAGCGGACCGGCTGACAATGTGCGCGCTTCGACGAAAAGTAATCCCGATACCTTGTTGCACAGCGATAATAGCAATCCAGAGTATGTTCATTCCAAAGAAAATCTCAAAAGGAGGGCTGCGAGCGGGCTGCAATTCCAGCTTGCGCATATCGCACCTGTCCAGGGCGGCCAGGGCGGCATGGGAGGCCACCACATCCACTTGCAGCTGAGTGCTTTGCAGTTTTTGAGTCCGCAATTGTAGGGTAGATGAGCACCCTTTTACTGCATCCCATCCATGTGAGGTATGCTCAACTACTCTTGAAGGCGTCTCTGACTGGCTAGGATAGAGCGCTTCGCTGCAGAGGGTTACAAGCTCTGCCACTTTTGTCTTCTTGCAGCCTTGACTGGGATTCTGGGGGAGGGTCGGGACCCGGGGGTCCAACCTATCGGAGTTTGGGGGTTGCGCCTCCATTGAAACTATTGTGTTGCAAGGCCTATTGGAACCGACCACGTTGTAGTGGCTTCATGTACTTTTGAGGCGGCTTTATCAGTTCGAGCACTATGATCAAAGCCTTCCTGTTTGCCGTTTGCCCCAAGCTTTGCCTAAACTCGGCTAGTGCCTACCTAGGCCGCTTTGCTGAGCAATGTTTGAAAGCGCTGTGAGGACTAGGTCTGTGTCAATGAAGGGGTAAGAGATGTAGAGGCGGGTAAGTGTGATATGAGTTGTCTGACTGAGTACCTATGTAACGTGTGAGTGTTGTCTCATTTTTCCATGATCTCGTTTCCGTTCTAGGTCGCCCTCGAGGATCGTCCGGTCGTTCGTAGGCAAAGTCGACAGCTATAAAGACGGAGACGATCCTGCGTATAAGTAAAGGTGAACGGCATCCAGACAAGCAGAACCGATACTATTTCAGAGGCAAAAATTCGAGGACATAGCAAGCATCAAACTAAGTCGAGGCTCCAAGCAAAAACCGGGGGCCTTAGGTGCTACTGTTCCGCAGGCAGCATCGCTGATCCGGAGACAATCTATGGCAGCAGGGAGAATGATACTTGAAAAGCCAACAAGGAGTCTGTGTCGATTAGGAGAGGCTAACCATTGGGAGAGAAGGAGGTCTGGATCGATGAAGATGTAGACCAGTAATAAGTGTAATGCGAGTGTCTGACCGAGCAGCGCGAGTTCCTCATAAATACGAGACGATGAAGGAAGTGCAGGTGTGGGGCGTTGGCAGGAGAGGCCGGTGGGGGCCGAATTGAGGCTCCGCGGCTCCCAAAGGCTCCCACGACACCTCACGTGGATGATCATCACGTGATAAGTTAAAGCGGCCGCAGACAGGAGGGACTCGTGAGGTATTCAATCATTCTCCAGGAAAAGGAAAAGGAGGAAGAAGATGAAGGAGGCGCCTGGAGGCTTGTCTGGTATGGGTACCATTCATATATCGTTTATGGTTTTACTTTGACAGTCCACAATCAATGACGGAGCGGCAAAAATCCGTCTTCTGGCCCTCTGACTTTCCAAAAGGGCTTCTCGACCACCCTCCTGAACGGCTCTTTATTTTTTCCCTTCGCAGCGCCGCCGCCGCCGCCGAGGACCTTCTGCCCCGTCTTTCCTGTATCTCCCAACGCGGACGGGTTGTGGATTGCGTCTTCGACTTCGTCCATGCCGATACCAGACCTGGTCCCGCGTCCCCGTGATGTCTTTTGTTTCTGTTCACGCTGTCTCGCAGGGTCGAGGCACCACACAACCACGTCGCCCTGCCGCCTCCAATCGTCGTGCCACTGAGAATTGAATAGTCGCTCACACTCGCCATATCCGCTCCCCCTGAGGATCACTTGTAAAGAGGGTTCTAGCTGTGCGAAGAAGACGAGGTAGTCCGGCCATGGCTTCCGGCCTTGGCCGCCAGTGAGCCAGAACTGCTCTGCCCGCTCTCTCTCAAGAAGGTCGGAAGGTATAGTGTCGATCTTACCCTGCACATTTGGGGCCGCGAGAATTCCTGCCACCGAGCCACTCGGTCGAATGTTGCCCTTGCTTTGTGGCGGGTGGCGTGACATGTATTTCTTCACCCAGAGTGAAGGGTTGGCGTAGAATTGGTCTGCTTCGTCTAGATAGCTTGATTTTTCGGTCGCATTGAGGTTGAGTGGCGGCTCACACGTCAGAGCCCAAGCTCGGATTCCCGGGTGGGTCGAGGTCGGGGGGTATTGTAGATGTGAGCGCCACGGGGTCGAGTGGCAAGGCATGAACATGCCAACCGTCATGTTTGAGGGAGTGGGGGAGGCGAGGTAGGCCGTCTCGAACTCGTGACGGAGGTAGTGTGTTAGGTCGATAATTCCGGAATTGTGGATCTGGGTTGTGTAGTATGACACCGTGAGATCTAGGGACAGAATAAGGAGGAGGACAAGTCGCTTTGTCAGGTGAGACGACCATGACGAGGTTGTCAACGGCTGGAAGAAGGACGCCAGAGGCAAAGCAGTTACAGTATGCAAAGCTGGTAACAAGGGGTAGATGAAGCGCACTTCCTTGTGTGCGATGACTGAGAAGGCTGCTGGGACAAGAAGACATATGATGGAGAGAGAGCGAAGCGCACCGCGGCCAGCCGGAGGTGTCTGTGCAAAATATGCATCGTTTGAGCTCAAGGCTCGAAACAGTCCGGTCAATGTAAATGGCAGTGCCGTCATTAGAAGCAGAGGGTACCCTTGGGAAACATAATAGTGCCAATCGTTGTTGCCGTAGAAACTTGCCAGCGACTGGACAACATTGACCTGGAGGAAGTTCAGGGGTGGGAAGACCCAGGCATCGTAGAATAGTCGATCAAGTATGCTCGAAGAGGCCAGAACCATGCTCCCACAGAGCACTGTTTCTCGCACGAATAGAATGCACTCGGCCCAGCTGAGGCCTATCGAACTCGAATCCCGAATGAAAGTGACGAACGCGAGGATCATCCATATCAGAATATTCGTGGGCCGGAGGATTGTCGCCACAGCGGCGCAGAGTAGCGCCCTCCGCAACCGGGTCAACTCGTCTGTGAAGCCCTTTTGTGCAGCAGAATCGTTTCGAGTGCGGATCCCGTGGTTCTGAAACGGAGTTTTCGCGGCGTCGTGATTTCCAGTTCGTGGAAGCATCCAATGCCAGGGCCAATTGTACAAGGTGACGACGGTCAAGGTCGTTTCCAATGAATTGGAGAATGTCCGCGTAGAACAGAACCATTGCCACGGGCTGACCACGGTTAAGAACAACGTCGCTAGAGCCGCTGCCGAGTCTTTCCCGTAGACGTAGGTCGCAAGTCTCCAGGTATAGAAATCCGCCGTCGCAGCGAAGATCGCCTGCAAGGTCTTTGGGGCAGCAAGCAGGACTTCTGAACGAAAAGGGCCTTGCAACATCAACCGCTCAGCGACAGCGTCGGCCAGCTGGTAGCATAGCCCAAAGATTGCAGGGTGTATCGCCGATCGCAGATGGTTCTTCCACTCCTGTTGTCCGTCATGAGCTTTCCTTCACTGTCTGTGTGCCTTTTGTCTGTTTATCGCACCCATGTTATCCACGCTCCTGCTCTTCCTCCAAACGCCCACTGCCATGCTGGCTCCAAGGCCTGAAAATACTCGTCTGGCTGGAAGAATGTCCTTGTCGTCAAAGCATTGACCAGTCGTAACCCGACTAAGAATAGGAAGACATTGTGAGGTGCGACGGCGAACGATCGTCGCGTGCTGAGAGGGGACGGAGCGCGTGTGAGACGACTGGCCGATGCATCCTCACCCGTTTGCAGAACCGACTTGGCCACAATTGACTCATCTAATGACATTGCTTTCCATGTGAAGAGCTTAAGTAGGTGTCAAAGAGACTTTGGAGCACGGAATTGCAATGTATCCTTCAACAATTGCCAAATGCAGCCATTCGAGTTCGTCAAGCAACTTCTCCAACTTTCTCCAAATCAGCCTCGTAATGACAACAACAGACTACTCGGTACTCGGTACAGGTAGCGAATATATACCTTTGATGTCTACGTCTTCTCTCTAGGAACAGGAGGGCGAGCGAGTCAGGGATATCTTGTTCTAAAAACTCCTTAAAGTACTTTCTACCGGTATCTCATTTACTTCCTACAAGTAATCATTCTCCCTTCGGTAGAGTTCCCAGATCATTCCCTGAGATAATCCCTCATAGCACAATAAGCAGAACGCGCACACGCTGCAGGCTCTCCGCAAAACAAGCTTACTCGACAGTGACAGACTTGGCCAGGTTGCGCGGGAAATCCACGTTCAATCCCTCAGCAACCGCAAGCCAGTAGGCAATCAGTTGCAGTGGGATGACGTTCAACAAGCCTTGCAAGCAGTCGACCGTCTTTGGGACCTCAATGCGCTCCGTCTTGGAAGGGGGGAACTCTGGGTCGTCCTTGTTGCAGATGACAATAGGTCGTCCACCACGAGCGATCACTGTCAAATCATTAGCTATGACCATCGGGGTGGGAGCGGGGACAGTTCTTACCTTGTTGATATGCGTTGAGTGACTTGGGGAAGATGTCATCTCTGGTCAGGATCATAATGATGGGCAAATTCTCATCGACAAGCGCCAAAACACCATGCTTGAGCTCTCCAGACATGACTGCTTCGCAGTGGAGATACGAAATCTCCTTGATTTTCAGGGCACCTTCCAAAGCTGTTGAGTATTGGCTGCCTCGGCCGAGGAGCAAGAGAGATTTCTGGTTCTGCAGGAATTTGGCGCACATTTCTTTGATCGAGTCGTTGAGTTTGAGGATTTCGCGGAATTGTTCGCTGACCTTGGCCAGGCCATCAATGATTTCATGACGGCGCTGGGCCTTGGAGAGGCGGTCCTCACTCAGGGACAAAGCAAACATGATCATGGCCACGAACTGGGAAGTGTAAGCCTTGGTCGAGGCGACACCGATTTCAGGTCCAGCGTTGATGTGGACACCACAGTGGGTCAGCATGGAGATGGACGAGCCGACCACGTTGACAATTCCCACAGTGAGAGCACCTCGCTCCAAGCAGTATCGCAGAGCCATGAGCGAATCGGCGGTCTCGCCAGACTGTGACACAAACACGCAGGTGTCGTCCCGGAAAACTGGGGCCTGTCTGTCGAGGAAATCGGAAGCCAACTCGACAGAAATGGGGATTTCCGTGAGCTCCTCAAACGCACCCCGGACAGCCATACAAGAATGGTAGCTGGTACCGCAAGCGATGAAGATGAGTCTTCTGCATCTTCGAATGGTGCTCATGTATTGTCTGAGACCTCCCAAAGTGACGGTTCTGTTTGCAACATCCAAACGACCACGCATGGTGTTGACGACAGATTCGGGCTGTTCAAAGATTTCCTTTTGCATGAAGTGGTCGAATTTGCCCTTCATGATCTCTTGAAGTTCAAGCTCGATGGTCTGGATAGCACGCACGTTGCTGGTACCGTCATCTTTGGTCAATCTGTGGATGTTGAGCTGGCCATCGTGGATGTGGGCAATGTCATCGTCTTCAAGATACAAAACTTTCTTGGTGTGCTCGACCAGGGCCGAAGCATCAGACGAGAGGAAGAATTCGGCTGGTTGAGGCATACCATCATCCGACAAGAATGCTCGGGATTGTGATCGGTGGAGCAGCGACTTGTCAGGGGGAGCCAACATGCCGTTGGGGGCCAAGAGTCCCGCTGCAGATTTCTTGACTGCAACATTGTGGTTTGCAATCTCAGCAGACAGAGCACCACCATCTTCAGAATACTCGACGTCCACAAAGTCCACCTTCATCTTTTTGGCAGTCTTGACTCCCACCACCAAAGGTGAACCCTTTCGGGCGGCAATGCATTCGTGGGGGTAGTGGACGGACTTCATGAGCAGGCCAAAAGCTCCCTGGAGCTCCTTGATGATAGCCTTTCCGAGCGTGGTGAAATCAATGTCTGGGTGTTGGTCATAGAGGTATTTGGCAAGCTTCGCAATGCACTCGGTGTCGGTGTCGGTCTCGAACTTGAAGCCCTTGCCCTCGAGCAAGGCCTTCAACTCCTTGTAGTTTGTGATGATGCCGTTGTGGACGACAGCAAACTCCCACTTGGGGTCAGATCTGTGGAGGGTCAGCGAAGGTTGTCTCGCACGTGGAAATGTGCCTGAACTGACCTGTGAGGATGGCAGTTGAGCCTGGAAGGCTGGCCGTGGGTGGCCCATCGGGTGTGAGCAATACCGCAGTGAGAGTCAAAGACTTTGGTCATGTCGACGCCAGACTTTTCAACCAGCTCTCGGAGTTTGGCCACCTTTCCCACCTCTTTGAACGCAAAAACCTCATTTTTCTTGTCGCCATCGACCGCTAGACCGGCGGAGTCGTAGCCACGGTACTCGAGACGGGCCAGACCTGAGCAATTCCATATTAGAAAGGTGAGTGGTTGGAATGGACGGGGCACAACTCACCGTTAAGCAAGGTGTCTAGAATGAACCTGCGGTCCTTCTCGACCAGATAGTTGATGTAGCCAAAGATGCCACTTGATATTCCGTCAGCTCATTCTCATTGCCCCGGCATGGTTGGCGGGTATACAAACCACATCTTGAAGATTAGTGCAGCGGGTGTCTGGAGAGATTGATCTCAATTGGGGTGAGAAGAGAAGAGGACGGTCACAAAGCACGCTCAGCCAGCCTTGTTATAGGGTCGTGGTCCAGTCGACGGACAAAGGAAAGGATAGACTTGTTGCAGACAATAAAGGAGGGGCGGTCAAGGCAGGATTGCAGGCCACGGGCAAGGAGCGCAAGGTTCTGGGTTTTGGGGATGATATGAAGAGCAAGGGAGGAAGAGCAAGGGGGAGTGAGTGAGTGAGAAATGGGATTCAGCTGGAAGGAATCAGCAAAATAGTTGTAGCACCAAGTTATTCTTTTTCGTTGCTGACAACCAGCGGTATCCAGGTCAGGGCTGAAATTCAAACCTCGACTGCACCAAACGGTGCATGCAAGTCTCGGACACCAGGACGCGCATCAGAGGCGCAACACCAGGACGACCAGCGTCACCGCTAAACTCAACTCGGCTGTTTCGCCAGCCGCATGTGGCCCTATACGAAGAGCGCAACACGCACACGCAGGGTCCTTTGCCTGGGGCCCAGTTTTTTGGGAAGGGTTGACGAGACCATTTTAGCCCCCACTTGGTGGCATTGGGTAGGGGAGAAGCCTGGAAGGTGCTTTTCCAGTAAGCCCGATCCAACTGGCAGCTCGCGAGTGGCGCCGGAGGGGGGTGGTGGGGGGGCAAGACCTGGGTTTTGGTAGGGAGGGCGTGGGTGCTCAGTGGTAAACTACACAGTCAGTGCCTATGCCCACCGCCTACCGCCCGTCGGCAACCTACTGGCTACGAGGTACTTCCCAGGTATACATTCTCACTGGCAGGGCAACCGCCTAGGCATTCTCCTTGGCAGGGACAATTGCTACAAGCAAACAAACAACAACATCCTGCTCCTTGCACGCACAGTTGACATTATGCCATCAGAAGTCCATTCATTATTATTGTACCGGAGTACCTTGGAGGCTGTGCAGGCAGCTAGCTTTCCTAGTCTCTTCATCTCCAGCTCCAAGCTTTCAATCAATCCGACTCGTCGTGTCCCACGCCGCCCCCAGAATCTCCTCGTTTCCTCTATACGAGTACCTAGCTTTGCAGCTAGATTCCCATGTCTTGGGTCCCTCAGTGGTGAAACACTTGTCGCCATAGCGTCAATACCCCTTGCTTGTGCCACTGTTGTCTCGTACAGACTTCTATCTTTGTACATCTGACGAGTCTGCCGCAAGTGTTGTTACTCATCCTTTTGCCATCTGGCCTTTTGTCTCTCCGAGTATAAGTGCTCAACTTTGAATGGGTCTAACTCTATTCTCCAAGCTGATATGGACAGAACGGGTTACCCTCTAAGCCGAGTCTATGCGAGGTTGCTCCTCTTAACAAGCCTCGGAAGAGCTCCACCAGTGGCTGAAGTCCAAAAATATGGAGGCTGACGAGTGAGACTTATCTCGTCACGTCGCACGCCGTCATCCCATCCCGCCTCGTCGCTTGCTGAGACAATCTGGCCCCCGTGGCATTTGGATCGGCTACTTTCCCGTTTGAGAGATGGTTCCAGCTCCGCATACCAAGAGTTGAGAAGAGGCTGTAATAACACGAGCGGATGAAATAGGGGTTGAGTGTCACTTGATCAAGTCATTCATTCGTTCTTGTGTTCTTCTCTATTACAAGCGCAAGGAAGTCCAAGGTGTGGGTGTGTGTGCTGTTCAAAATCTCGGTTCCAAGGCATTACCACTCGCTCTGCAATGCCCACGGGTCCAACTGTTGCCTCCCATCAGGATGAGTGTAGGCGATGTCAAATGGCCCGACCTGGGCTTTTTCGTGGCGATCCTGCTGGACGATGGTTTTGAGGCCCCGAACAAAAGAATGATCCTTGATATATCGTGAAGTTACTTGTCGAAATAGCAACTTTGGAGGATTGGCCCATGATACTGAGTACAAAATACTCGCTAAAAAAGGTTTACCTCACATCACGCACCCATTTCTCCACCGAGTCTAAGTCCCCGTCGATAGAGGAGCGGCACGAGCAGATTCAGATACAATCCAAGCCCCTGGATCGAGTTTGTTGAGAAAGAATAATCTGAGAAATAAGCCCCGCCGTGGCCACCGCGGGCCGTTCGTTCTGCGCGTCAGCATACGTCCTAGTGAGTGCCACCAAGCGATATCGAGGGCTAGAGAAGGAGGATCACAAGCGTGATATACTTGTACCTATGTCTATGTATGCTCGCATAAAGGCTTTGGCGGAGCTGGGTATTATTCCCAAACAGGTAATAGAGATTATGTCGTCGTGCGTTCTTGTGGTAATCAACTTACCCACCAGATCGGTTTTCACCTAGATGGGTTTACAGCCTGCCACTACGGCTGTGGTCGTCGACATGGCAAGCAATACCTACAGCGTTCATGAATCGGATGGTAGTACAAGCCTCGAGGTAGACAGCGATTGGTGTACAGTATCAGGCTGGAGTCGATGTTGGTGAACCACGACTCGCTATGATCCAGCACAGCAGCCTCAGCTTCGTCCGTCCAAGCAGATACCGTTCATGTCCTCGACACTATGATTATATCCTATTCGTATAGCATTTACTCGGAAGTAGCTGCAGCAGCAGCAGAAGACTCACCAACCTGCCATGTGTGTATGTAGGTTCGTTCGGACACTGGGATGGATATATACGTACCTGTCATGTATATTGTGTATACAAACATACCACAGTCCTTCTTTCGTTGCTGTTGCTGGGATATGAACGCTCTTGCCCAACTGATTGCTGCTTGAGACCTGTCTGTGTTCTTGCCAAACGGCCGTGGTTCCATCGTTCTTGCTCTTAAACGCTGTCGTGGTGCCGTAGATCTGTTCGCATCTCGTGCCTGTCTCCCTCTCTTCTTTCCGACAAGCACTCCCAGTCGGCTCCCCATAGAGCAGGCCTGCTCTTTGCTGGCTACCCAGGATGTCTCGTCTTTCTCCGTCCTTTCCGTGCTGTGTGTTTACCTTGACAGGACTCCACGCCGAGTGCTGCCGTTCTCAAGGGCTTTCCAGCTCCCAACACCTGCTCTGCCATGGACCATGACCGAAGACCAAGGGTATGGGATGGTCTGTCCACCAGTCACCCCAGAAAGAGATCCCATATTAGCGTTTTCTGATACATGTCCCTTCTCTAGGCTCTGACTCCAGACCTGACTCTCCATCTGCCGATTTCCTTGCCAGTGGCTTGAGCCACCAAATATGATTCAAGTCAGAAGCTGCAATAGACACTAGGTGTCTTTGAAGAGCTGGAGTTCATCATTCTTCGAATCATAGACCGGTGGGTTCAAATCCCACCAGCCAACGAAGATATTCAGAGCACTCGGTGCCTTGGGCAAGGAAGAAGACAACTGTGATATCGGAGGCTGAAAGCGCTTTTTTTTCTTTCTTTCTTTCTTTCTTTCTTTCTTTCTTTCTTTCTTTCTTTCAGGATTTTCCCCAGAGCAAAGGAAATTATGTGTTATACCTGTGGCTGAAGTCAAAGACACGGGTCAACAAGCAATTGTGTCCCGTGTAAGTCCATCACCCTTCAGGGGTATATCGTTCGGTCCAAATCCCACCAGCCGGTGATGTTTTTCTTTGAAACATTTCGGGGATTTGTGCTGACATTTTATACCCGACAGCCTAGCAGATGAGTCACTTCCCTCAGACACTCAGTGACTGGTCAGGCAACCAGAGGCCGTGCCACAACTCATCAGAACCTTCCTTCGCTGATTAGTTTCTTACAGAAGTGTCTCAGTGTGTGATTGGTGACCCTCAGAGCAAAGGATGATGGCGGAAGTCTGGAATTGACATGTGGTCGGTTGCGCTTCTGTAAGGTTTGCAAGAGTTTGGTTGACATGAAAATTGTGTTGAGTTTCTGTGTAGGAGAAAGAAATCAAATGGCTCGTCCTTGAGATCAGGTTGAGACTAAAATAAGATACACTGTACTCACCCGTGTCCTGATCGTGACACGACTCTGTACAAGGAGACCGCCTCTACTGCTGTTTAAGACCGAATCAACCACCCAGAGATATGTATACACAACCTTTTCCACGGTCACTAATGAGCAGCGGCCTCGCTCCGAGTCTATGAGAGTGTGAGAGTGTCAATCCTGACCACCGCATAGGTAACAGTAATAGGAGACAAAAATTCAAGTCCAAAGGAGGGAAGGAGGATGATGATGATAGGGTGCAACCATTCCATTCAGTCAGTGCAATTATCGACATTTGAATCTTTGAATCTTGTGTACAAGGACTTGGAACCTTTCTCTGCTCTACTCACGATCCGATCAGAGGGAGGAGTGGTTGTTATCATTTCAGCCGACCGGGTCCCGAAACACAGCAAATCCTCCAAATAACGAAATGTTGTTTATGCACCTTTCCCCCCACCCGATTATTTCGTGTTTTAACTCCGCCTTTCCAGGGACAACCACATGATGGGGAGAGTCAGAGAGGCGTTTCTTCGTAGTCAAACTGTTACAGCGTGTGGTTGGACACAGATGTCGTCCATCCGTCCATCGCATAACATTAATCAGGGATATCGGATGGGAAGAGGCTGTCGAGGGGTGTCAGTAAGAATGTCGGAGTGTCTGGGATTAAATGCGGTAAAAAGGCAAAACATACCTGTCCGTTGACAGCTCCAACAAGTGTCTTGCCCGTCTCCGGGTTCGCCTTGGGCATCTTCTGGACCGATATTGGCCCATTGATCTCGCGATCCAGGTTCATATATTCCTTGGCTGCATCTTTGGTGCCCCGCTCAAGCAGATACCTCATGTAAGTCGTGATGAGCTCTTGAACGATGGCATCTAGTAGGGCACTCTTGGTGAGGATCTCGTCCACAACCCGCCGAATCTGTTCGTAGTGCTGTTGCTCTGTCTCGCTACTTGTGGGTTGTTCAATTTCGAAACGCAGGTAGCTGGACCAGAAAGCTGGGCTGTCGAGGTACAAGTGTTGGTTCTTCTGGAAAACCTGGCGAGCCTCTTCCGTTGAGCCCTTAACTTTCCAGAGGAGTTTCGCCCATTCAGCCACGAGAGCAGCTTTTGCTGCAGATTCGACGTTTGGAGATTCCAGGTGACTTTGGTACACGGAAACAGCGGCCTCCAGACCTGAATGACGACGATTTATGTTCGCCAGAGAGACGATTGTCTCGACGTGACCAGGTAACTGGAAGAGAATCGCATCGTGTATGTCCTTTGCCACATCGACACGACCGGACATTTCTTCAAAATAGGCGTACTGAAGTCTGGTTGTTGGCAGAGCAATCGGAACGTAGAAGCAAGACGCTCTTTGATAAATGTTTCGAACTTCCTCTTCCTTGCCAGGCTGGGCCAGCATCCACCGGGCGTATCTTAACCAGAACTCATCGTGTTGCGCACAAGTGACCAAGCAGCGCTCATATAGGAACTGGGTGCGGGTGTAATCACCTTCTGATTCTTCAAAGTCGAGATATTTGCGCCAATTCGTCAGTTGAGCTTCGTCGAGATCCGTCACGTGGAAATATGGTCGCTTGATTTCCGATTCGTAGGTCCATCGTTTCGTAGTCTCGTTCTGTGTCCGTCGGAAGATGTCGAGGTGATAGTTATCAATCCGGGTCCGTAACTCTCGCTCTACCTCTGGCTGGCTTCGGCCGGCTTTGTAGCCAGCACCTTCGTTCTCGATATCCATCTGCAGCTGCGTAAGAGTACCGGGCGGGGCGATGGCTGAAAGCGGGCGCGACTGTGCCATCTGCCGGTACTTCTCAAAGTATCTCGCGTATTGATGCATCGGGATGTGTATGATTCGGCCAAGGATGGTGAAGATTCGGTCGAATCCTTCCATGCGTTCTTCGAATTCAATATATTTATCCCAGAAGGGATGGGCGAGGAAGTCGAGGCCGACACAAACTGCTCCTCTCTCAAAGAGCCTGATCATCCGCTGGTTAGCATGATTGTGCACTACCTTCGCGAGGGACTTGGAGAATGGAAGGGAGAAAGCAGACATGGGAGGATGGGGAATGTACGCGTGATAATAGTCCTTCAATTGCTTTTGCAACAAGTTGAGATGATCCTGCAGAAAGGGTGGGCGGGCAAAGGCCCAATTCTCGGGCAAATCAAATCAAAGCACCTGACTGGTGATGAGTGAGAAGCAAGCTCGGAAGGGGAGGGACAGCGACGATGAGCTCACCAAAGCTGCGGTGGCCATCATCATCGATTTCATCGCCAGCTCCTTCTGCCAAACGAGGTGGTGTCATGCTATGTTTAGGTTCTCGACAAGAGGGAACACATGTATCATACTTACTCTCGAATACCATCGGAATCGTGGCTTGTCTCGGTCTTGAATGAACAGTAGTTTGTCCACAGATCCACCGAATTGGTGACGCTGGCGATCCCGCGTTCGTAAACCTGTCCATCCTTTTAGCATGCGAGTCTCTCTTTTGTTCGCAACAAACTGCCTCACCATGTCGGCGGCTTCGGTTCCGGCTATGGAGAATTCCAGGTCGGCGTATTTCTTCCAATAGCCAAAGAAAAGAGGAAACTTCAAGAGGAAGCGGTCGTAGACGCTCCGGACGGCCGTGATCGCCTGCGAACTCGAGTTCCTATTGATTCCGCCCTCGAGCGCCTCGGCGGCGCGGACGAGCTTCTCCCAGATCTCGAAGTTGTCCGAGTCATCGTTCTGCGTGCGCCAGACGTTAGCCCCGGAGCACATGGCCATCGCCTAGATATCGCCTACCACCTCGGCCAAGAGCTTCCGCAACTCAGCGCTCTCCTCATCGTTTCCACCATAGGCGTCCATCGAGACTAGGCTGGGTTATGGCCCAAGAGAGGCGGTCCGGACAGTGCAGGCGACGACGAACGTGTCTCGAGTCTTTTCAGGAATAGTCCTTGAGTGGCAGGAATACAGAAGACAGTATTCCGCAGCATATAATAGTCGTAGGGATACTGAGGACGTTGGGGGCAGAAGAAACATGTGGAAAGGGAAAAAAACGGCAAGAGGCTGAAGCAGCAGATGAACTTCCCGTCTGCCAAGCCTGCGCCGCATTTGTCCTGAAATCCGCGCTCTGACAACTTTTTTCTTAAAAGAGGTGAATGCTCAATCTCTCACACCCGCTCATGGCGATGCTCCTTTCATCACCTAGATAAGATTCGGCAGACCCTATAGGACGACACCACTGCCTTCTCGCAGAGACAACGAACAAAGGCACCTCATCACGATCCGTCCAATTAATTACCACTTGACCGGTCATTGATCTCCCGGCACCGCTGCTATGGCGGAGCTCAGTGCTCTGCCACTCCGGCTGAAGAACTTCTTCGCCCGGTATCCTCCCCAGCTCTACTCGGCCAGATTCACAGGCATCACGATACCGTTGACGCGGCGAGAAGCGAAGGAGGCAGCCGTCGCCCGAGCCGCTGAAATACAGAACCACACCTCTGCATCTTCACCACCCTCGCGCCTCGTCGCGAGCATCCTCGCACAGCCCATCTCAGTATCTGCACCAGCAACCTCGTCACAGACAGAGTCGTCGACGACAGAGTCTTCAAGAGAGGAGACCACCGAGGAAGCAATTCCTCCCACATCTACATCGATACCGACATCCAGCGCGCTTCAGAAATTCCCGCCGAACCCCTTCCTCCCGCGCAAAAACTTCGTGACTGGCCGATGGGCCGGCCCCAAGATCGGGCTGCGGCGGCAGGCGGATCTGGTCAAAATCGCACAGCAATTCGGCATAGAAGAACTCCTTCCCCCCGGGCGGAAATCCTCGGCGTTCAAGGAGTCGCGGTTGCTCGAGAGGGGATTGAGGATTAGGGGCACCGGCGAGGGACAAAAGGTCAAGGGTCACAAGTGGGAGAGACACATGGGCGCGACGTTGGAGAAGAGGCGCAAGGCAATGGAAGGCATGCCCGACTTGATCAGAGAGTGGAAACAAAAGGGCCACGGGCGAGGCTGGAAGAAGTATCCCAAATAGACGCTGTCTTTATTGGGGGGCTTCTCTGTCTGCTCGTCGTTATGTATTAGGTTTTCGGCAGAACCAGCACATCTATCCGAAGCAGAGTGAACATTCTTCTCAGCCATCGAACAAAGGCCCGCCTCACTGGCATCAAGGAGTCACAGCCATACGTGAAACTGCAGCAAAATGGTGCACCAGGCGAAGGACATTTTGGCCGCTATACTCCACGAACATTCTGCCGCTGCGCCCAGATACCTGACAACTTGATATTGTGTATATCAGACCTCCCCCGTCACACGCCATGTACTTTCACGGTGGAATACCCCCTCGGCGGTCCTGTGGTCCTGTAAAAATAGCTCTTCCATACAGGTCGAGACTCGAATCTCGATATTCAATTCAGACCGAATCCCACCCAAGTAACTCGATGTATGCTTATGTTAATTCGGGGCAGTAACCTTCGTGTGTTACTGCTTCCTCTCTCGTTTCTCAACAGAACCAACGTCAACCACTCCAAAGTCCAACCACACTGTCAAAAGCTGAATCCGCACTCGCCACTGCCCTTAGCACTTGAGGGACTCCGGCAAGATTTTCGAAATATTCACACCCTCGAGGCGCCCTCCCGAACTGGAGGTCCTTGATCATGTGGACTAGCACCACCGCTGCCACTAACTGTGCCGATAGTGTCACTACCGCGACCCTGCAGATGCTTAACAAACCAATCGAAGCGAGTCGACGATCGTTTTTCTGTACTTGCATGTCTAGGTGGAACAGCGGCACTGAGGGCAGGTTGTTCTGCAGCATCGACGCCATCATCCGTATTGGTAGCTGACGAAGTTGTCCCCTGCGAATGCACGTCCTTCTTCACTTTCCAGGAACTCAAGGTCCCTTTCTGAGTTTGAGACTGCGATGAGTTCGTGAAGACTTAGCAGCCGATCTCGCCTTGGTCTTGCGGGTGAGTTGGACTTCGATATCTCGCAGCTCCTTCTCGAATTCGCCCGCCCAACTGAACTGCCCCCGGAAAGTACTTCTTGTAGGTGTTGGCTGGTATTGGAGAGATGAGATAGGAGGGAGAGAAGCGCTGTGGGTCAGTTTTCGAGGCTCCTGTTGCCCTTCGTCATAACAGTGTAGAAAACTGTAGCGCTTGGTGTCGCCTTTGCCCTCCCTCGGACTGTGGATAGTTGCTTTCGGTCGGGGCGAGGCCGTTACAGGCGAACTAAAGAGACTGTCGGAACTTTCCTCTTTGACTGGGCTGAGCTGCTGTAACTCTTTCTCTTCTTGCTCCCTTCCTCGACCACGCGACAGATCATGTCGAGTCGACGGCCTTGTCGCCAATGAGAGGCAAGAATCTTTGCCGGGTCTTTGCCGCTGTGGGGGATGGGTGTCCTTGGTCTCTGAACTTGGTCTTAATTTGTATATGCCGATGAAGGCTTCAAGTTCATCGTCGTCCAGCCCAAGAGGCATCGTGGTTGACTGTTCTTTGGTGATTGAAGAGTGGGAGGATCCCTGTCTTACTTTGCTGTGTGGGAATACATGCCTTTTGTGAAGCGTTTTGGGGGTCCTGATCTCCGGGGAAGATCATGTGGAGTGCAGGGGGCGAAAGACGGAGGTGCTATTTTGGGATGTCAGCTGGAGGTCACGAGTGTTGATCTCTCTATGCCCTTTGTCGTGCGTCCGAATAAGTTCGCGCGATCTTAAGATAAGCCGTGCGACTGGAGACCCTGGTATAAAGCTTCGCGAGGAATGTTGAGGCGGATAGCAACCGTTGGACTCGCGTGGCGACTGACAATATATTGAACCCTCATCCGTCCGTTTCTGGCGTGTGGGATCAAATTAGAAGCTTGCAGTCTCTCTTCTTAACCAAGGTGAACCAAAGGCATAGCTGAAACAAAGTTCCGACCATCATCACAAGCCCGCTGAAGAGCTGTAGTCCCACATAATGGCGTCCATCATCACCAACCAGCGCTCCGGCGATCGGGCTGCCGATGAGGGAGGCGGTGGCGCCGATTGCTTGAGCCATACCGAGTCGGGCTCCCAAAACCTTTGGATCAGGGCAGACAACAGGGAATATACTAGGTGGAAGTGGAATGAGCGCGCCACTGAAGAAGCCTGAATGCCAGTCATTACCACAACTGTAATGGCAATAAAGGCTTGGGCCAACTTACCGTAGAGAGCGGTGAAGGCGCAGAACGCCCCTATGCTGTGAATGCCTATCCAGGCAAGGCAAAGAATGGCGGAGACGAAGCCGCATATCAACCAAGGAATCATCACGCCGATGTGCAGCGCAGCAGTCGATGCTATCATTCGTCCCACCACTGAAGATCCTTGCGCAATCACAACCGAATACAGAGCGAGGGCTCGTGATGTGCCCAGAACAAACTGTGCATAGCTGGGTATATAGAAAAAGGGAACGAGGTAGCCGGTAAACAACTGTGAAAGTCAGCCTTGATGGGCGGAGACAGCTTTGATGGGCAAGCGATAACTAACAAAGAAGTTTGCCCAGGTGTAAAACCAAAACCCGATATCCTTGAAAGCTGCTCTATCAAAGAGTTTCCGCGTGGTGCCAGAACTGATATCACCGAAATTTGTGGCGCCCCAAAGCAAGAGCGGGAAGGCGAGAAGATAAGACGCGAGCATGATAAAGCCTATGACTCTGACGGTCCAAGCGAAACCCAAGGAGTCGATTAGCTGCTGAAAAACGATGGTGTAAATGATGCCCCCTGTTTCGCCAGTCAGTAAGAGTTGCAGTTGAATTCAATCAAATCTTCCACATACCAAATGGAGCGCCACAACTCACAACACCAAGTGCAATTGCCCTCCGGGTTTTGAATGAGCGGCTAACGAGTGCCATGCCGGGGATGAAGAGAACACCACAGCCCAGACCAGTGCAGATGCCTTGGGTCAATATGATCTGATAGTACTGGCTTGACAAGCTCAACATAAATATCCCCAAGCACGACATTGCGGCACCTCCAAAAAGCATACTGCGGTAATGACCGAGGTCAAACAAGGGTCCAGAGATGATGCCAATGACGATCAAGAGGTAGGATGCAACCGTCCCGATCCAAGAGATGTCGGACGCAGAGCTGGTTTTCAAAAAGGACGTCTCGTAATAGTTTTGGAAGAGACCGAATGCAAAGGTGAAGCCCCTAAGTTCACGGTCATATTTCAGCAATCTGTCTCCCAACAAGGAACAATTCCCTTTACCAGACATTGAAGAAGACAAGGAAACATCCAATGACTTGCAGCCATGCCCGAAGTCCGCCATCTTGGAGGGTTACTGGTGGCAAAGAAGCAACGGCTGTCGCTTCAATCGCAACTTCTTTGCTGCTAGGAGCATCGATTGGTATGGCCTCGTTAATTGTCTTTGAAGTATCATGTTGGGAATTTGACATGACGACAAGAGATGGGGACTTGGTCCGAACTTTAGCTCTGTCGAACCGCCACGAGTTTGTATAGAAGTAGAATGGGATTCACTGGAAACAGCGGTCCATAACGACAGGCTTTTAATACCACACCACGATGCTCAGGCTTCTCAGGGCGCACAAGAGAAGCAGAAGGGAAGTAGAAGACGAAATTGCAGAACAACTGGGGTAAAGGCAGAGGAACCGCTTAGCCGGCAGCAGGCATAGAGCATTTGTAAGAGGTGGTGCTAGTGTGTAGAAAAGTTCCATGGATGGTCAAATCCGCAAATGGCGTGGCTCTCGACAGCCCCATGGGCATCCATCGTCCATTGGCATCGAGAAGTGCATTGCATGTACCGAGGCTAGCATCCGCTTCTGCTGCTTGAGACACCGACGGCAATTATGGCATCATATTGCCGGCAACTAATCATCGCTGTCAATGGAGAAAGTTGACCATTATTTTCCCCTCGTCGACGTTCAGGACAGGTGAGCGAATGTTGAATATGTAGGAGGTGATGCTGGCAACAGGACATGTTCACGCTGCGGCTCGGCGTGGAATGCGTTTGTTCTCATCTGCTCCCCCGTCGCCAAACAGGCTCATTGTGGTCTGTGCCGAATGCCGCTGTCTTAGTTTGATCAATCGAGCTTCACAAGTGCAAGATCCTTAATGCGGGGGAAAGCCTCGGCGCCAAAAGGACACGGCTCGACGGGAAGCCCAAGGGTGCCTGAGGTGCGGACAGAGTGCGCAGAAGTCCGCCTCTTTCAGGTGGTTACAAGGTTGAGTCTTTGCTCATTGCAGAGGTCGGGAGAGAGGGAACGAAACGGAGGCTTTGCTTGTGATCTCTGGCTGGGGCCATGTCTCGAGGGTCAACTTGCGATTTTGAACGCTGATGTCGAGGAGATGAAGATGTGAGACGTCGATTGTAGGTGCCACGGCTGTGCAAAGACGGATATAAGCCGACATTCTACCGGCAGCGCCCAGTACTCCCGTTCTTTACCAGTGACCCTTGTGCCATCCAAGCTTTGCTCGGCCTGGCTTCTAGAATCACAAACCATCTCGTGTCGGGAGATTTATTGTACTACTTGTCCTTCTCCCCTCGTCGCACGTGGCTGAGGCATGCCAGGTGTCGCATACCATGCCCTGATCCGAACCCACCATATCACATCCAGGAAGAAGGTCGCCAGGCTCAAAGCAGCCGCCAAACAATTTCAATGCTACGCTCTACTTCGATCAGGGGGAATCCCTGGTGTCATGTATGTCCGAGGCTACGATCGATCCAACGTCCAGAAATGGGTTGACACGGTCCGTGACCTGAGATACAAAGACTACCACCTGGCTGCGCCAGTTCATGCTATCTCATCCGAGCTTCAACCCGATGACCCTCAACAGGACGACGAAAGACTGGGAAGCCTGGAAGAAGTCACCACGGTCAAAGAAATGGCCACGTGTATGGAGGCGAGAGGACTCCAGAGATGGTGGCGGGTCGCCATGGGATTCATGAAGGCATAGCGTGGAATCGCCTCTGGACATCGCAGCCATCTATCACTGCCAACTGCCACTCTTGATTCTCAACCCCAAGGGTCGTCTCGCTATGCGCCATAACAATACAGTAGATCCAACCGACGGGTCGTATTTTACAGTTTCTGATACTCCAACTTGCCCTCGAGTTTCTTCGACTCGGCCACTTTTCTCACCGCTTTGTTGAAGTCGTCCTGGTTGACAGCGTCTCTGTAATCCTTGATTGCAAACAACCCGGCTTCCGTGACGACGTTTCGCAAATCGGCGCCGTTGAGACCGTCACTCATCTTGACCACGCTTTCAAAGTCGATGTTTCCTTCCGTCACCACGCCAGCAGCGTGAATCTTCAAGATCTCTAAACGCCCAACCTCGTTGGGTAGTGGGATCTCAATCTTCCGATCCAATCTCCCTGCTCGCAACAAAGCGGGATCCAGGGTGTCCGGTCTGTTGGTAGCCATGATAATCTTGGTCTTTCCCAGGTAATCGAAACCATCAAGCTGGTTCAAAAGCTCCATCAATGTCCTCTGAATTTCTCGGTCGGCAGATGTTCCTTCGCTGAAGCGTCTCCCACCGATGGCATCGATTTCGTCCATGAAGATGATACAAGGCTCGTGTTCTTTCGCGTAACCAAACATCTCGCGGATCAACCTTGCCGACTCGCCGATATACTTGTCGACAATAGCGGATGACACAACTACCGTAGAGTCAGCATGCATTTTGAATCCCTCTGACGACTTGGGGCTCACCTTTCAAGAAGTTTGTGTCCAGACTACTTGCGACTGCTCTCGCCAACAGCGTCTTTCCCGTGCCGGGAGGCCCATAGAGTAGAACACCTTTGGGAGGCTTGATACCTACTCGGAGGAACAACTCGGGATTCTTGAGCGGCAGCTCGATCACCTCCCGCAGTTCTCGGATTTGTTCGTTCAAACCACCAATACCAGCGAAGGAGACCTGTCCAGGATCTTCCAAAGACATGTTGTAGACCAAGGGATCGACTTCTCTTGGGAGCATTCTCATGATAGTCAGGGTGGTCATGTCGAGTGCCACTCGCGTGCCTTGTTTCAATTTCGACTTATCGACTTTGGACCGGCAGCCGACTACATATCTGGGACCTGAGGATGCCTTGACAATGACTAAAGTATGTTAGCATCTTCCAATGACACTGTCGTTTCGGCAAACGTACATCGCTCCTCATCAAGCTGCTTCAGGACTTCGCCAATGATTTGTCCGACACTTTGTAGTGCTTTGATGTTCTCCTCTGTTGTTTCAAACTCCCTCTGGAGTCCCTTGATATCCATTCTGAGCGCTTTTAACTTGGCTTCCCATTCTCGAGACTCTAGAAGTTTGTTTTTATACTGTTCGAGGGCCTGCTGCCGTTCTGGATCACCGCCTCCGTCCATCGTGGGTGTTCGAGAGACAAGTGTACGCCGGTCTGTGTTGGGAATCTGTGGGGAGGAATTATGTATGAGATCGACGGTAAGAACGGAAGAGTGTAGTACCCCGTGCTCCAAACACAAGGGTGCGAGATGTTGCAGGTACTGTAGATTTGAAATCGGTGATTGTCTAATAGACCAAGGAAATGGGAAGCTTGCGCGCTGCAGGTACCAATAGCACTACGCGGCAAAGGCCCAAGGAGAGCAAAGTGAATCTGGGAAGGTATAACGAGCATGGTCACATGACCTCTCCTAGCCCGATCTACCACTAACCTCGTCCTCTGTTGCCAATGATTGTAGCGGCCCAACGAGAGCCTTCTGGGCAGTGGATTGGGCGGGTTGGGCGCGGAAGGACCCCTGGTGTCCTTGACCTATCCGCTGTCAGTGGCCCTCCGATGCGTTAGTTTCCCAATCCGCAGCACTGGACTTCTGGAGGGGCTCAATCATGTTCCCCGCCTTGCGTCGCTGCTGAGGGAAACTGCTGAGTTGGAAGTTTTGTCGCGATCAATACCTTCAGTCGCTCTTGCCAACACCCCCACCCCAAAAAGCAACAAAAAGTTTCACTTGCTCTTGATAGCTTTCGTCACTGCATATTTCTTTTCCTCTCTATTCCCTCATCGATAGAGAAACCCAGTCGTCCTCCTACTTCCTCCTTGGGATTTATCACTAAGCATTTGTTCACTGACTCAACCCTTCTGTCACACCACTGCAAACACCAAGTAAGTGCCTCTCAAGAGCTTTGCTCAACCGTCTTGACGAAGCTCCTCTGCGCTCTTTGCAGCTGCCCTTCCTCTTCCCCTTCCCCTTCACTTTCCCCCCGTACATGACCCCTTCAGCCCTCAACTCATCGTCTGCCCTTGTTCCGATATCTTCCATTCACTGACCCACCGACAGCCATGCCTATCGTGAAGGTGCACGCCCGCTCCGTCTACGACTCCCGGGGTAACCCGACGGTCGAGGTCGATGTCGTGACCGAGACTGGTCTACACCGCGCTATCGTCCCTTCTGGTGCCTCCACCGGCCAACACGAAGCCTGCGAGCTCCGAGATGGTGACAAGACACACTGGGGAGGGAAAGGTGTTCTGAAAGCCGTCAACAATGTGAATACCATTATCGGACCGAAGTTGATTGAGAAGAACATTGATTGCACGGATCAATCTTCGATCGACAAGTTCCTGATTGAACTTGACGGAACAGAAAACAAGACCAACCTTGGTGCCAATGCCATTTTGGGCGTCAGCCTTGCGGTCGCCAAAGCTGGTGCTGCTCAGAAAGGAGTTCCTCTCTACGCACATGTTTCCGATCTAGCAGGCACAAAGAAGCCATATGTTCTACCCGTGCCGTTCATGAACGTGCTCAATGGAGGTTCCCATGCTGGTGGCCGTCTTGCATTCCAAGAATTCATGATCGTCCCCGAGTATGACCTTTCACATCTCTTATCACTTCGAGCTGAGCTAACAATCAACACAGCCAAGCACCATCCTTCAATGAAGGTCTTCGATGGGGTGCCGAAGTCTACCAGAAACTCAAGTCTCTGGCAAAGAAGAAGTACGGTCAATCCGCTGGCAATGTTGGTGACGAGGGTGGTGTCGCTCCAGATATCCAGACCGCTGAAGAAGCCTTGGACCTGATCTCTGCTGCAATCGAAGAAGCCGGGTACACCGGCAAGATGAACATTGCCATGGATGTCGCCTCTAGCGAGTTCTACAAAGAGAAGGAGAAGAAGTACGATCTCGACTTCAAGAACCCTGACAGCGATCCCAGCAAATGGATCACTTACGAGCAACTCGCCGACTTGTACAAGTCCCTAGCAAGCAAATATCCAATTGTTTCAATCGAAGATCCCTTCGCTGAGGACGACTGGGAGGCGTGGAGCTACTTTTTTAAGACATCCAACTTCCAGATTGTCGGGTAAGTGCTCGCATTTTATCGTGGAATGAGCCACAATGACTGACAGGGGCCAGTGACGACTTGACCGTGACGAACCCCAAGCGAATCAAGCGAGCCATTGAATCAAAAGCTTGCAATGCTCTTTTGCTGAAGGTCAACCAAATCGGCACCCTGACGGAATCCATTCAGGCCGCCAAAGACTCGTATGCAGCTGGGTGGGGAGTGATGGTTTCTCATCGTTCTGGGGAGACTGAAGACGTCACCATTGCCGACATCGTGGTTGGTATCCGAGCTGGTGAGATCAAGACCGGTGCCCCAGCACGATCTGAACGTCTTGCGAAGCTCAACCAGATCCTGCGCATCGAGGAAGAGCTAGGATCCAATGCCATCTATGCCGGCACCAACTTCCGCAAGTCTGTCACTTTGTAAGTAGTGGGACTGCGACAAAATGGGACACCAAGCTGTGTGCAAGCGGTAGATGAAAAAAACTTGGCCGCAGAGCCGCCCTTCAGGTAGCTTCGTTAGGGGTGTGCGCGTTTTATGCACTTTACAAGAACACATCACGATTTTTGTAATTCTGATCGTCTCCTCAGAGAACATAGGTATGATTAGATGCGTTCGTCATGAGATTGCTTTTATTTTACATTGTGCAAGCCAGAGTACCGAGTAGTGCAGATGTGAGATGCCAGGGGCAACCAGCACTCGGAACGGGGCGGTTCTCGCTAAACACCCACGTGATACCCTAAGACTCTCTTAAACTCCCACGTGAAGGCACTAACAATTGTGTGTCGCACTATTGTGAAGTCTTGGCAAGTTTGTAGTCCTTTAACTCGATTTTTGTGAGATCACCTCCTTGTTGCCACAATCCGAGAGAGTCAAATCCCCAGAGTCTACTCCGTTCACCGTGCTCTCTTGCGCACTGTGTAGGTTCGAGCGATTGCGCGCGTCGCGGTGAACTCCTTAAAACGCATCAAGTTTATCACACAGACGGGCAGAGTCCGGGTAACCACATCATGCCTCCTTCAAAGTGGGGTGAGTCGCAATCTCGAACCCGCGGGGAAATTGTCCTCTCCTGCGCCGAATCACCCAGGATAATGTGCTAACAATGCCATCTCGCCAGATGATGAGTCCGAAGAGTCCTCCGAGGAAGAATCTGTAGATGTCCCTGTTGCCCGACGCAAGTTTGCAGACGAGGAAGATTCCGATGACGTACGTCAGGCTGTTTTGCTGGTGGACCGACAGAGGGACTGATGAGCGTTAGGTTGCCGACAACTGGGAAGAGGAAGAAGACTCTGAAGTTGAGCGAGAGAAAGCTGCCAAAGCGGCCGCAGCCAAAGCCAAGGCCGATGCAGAAGCTGCGGTCAACAAGAAGAGCAAGGCTCAGCGGATAGAAGAACACAGGGAGGCAAACCGACGAAAACGTGCCGAAGAGGAGGGCGAGGAAAGCTCAGATGAAGACGAAGCAACCAGGCGTGCCAGACTACGGCAGTCAGAGCAAGACTCTGACCTGAAACATGCGCAAGACCTGTTTGCCGAAGCGGCGCTGGAGCCCAAATCGCGTGCCAAACCCAACAAGGCCGTGATAATAGAAGACAAGGCAAATCCAGGCCAGACAATCGACCTCTCACAACTACCCCTCTTCAAGCCTGCCACAAAGACACAATTCGACGCCCTCTCAGCAACCCTGGTACCTCTCCTTACGGCCGCTTCTTCGAAACCACACTATGCACTCTGGCTGCCAACCTTTGTGAAGCAAATAGCTGCCGAGTTACCCAGTGCAGAGATCAAGAAGGCGGCCAGTGCACTGACAGCTCTGAGTAACGAGAAGATGAAGGAGGAAAAGGCACAAGAGAAGGGCGGCAAGAAGTCAAAGGCGGCCAAAACCAAGTCGTCTCTTGCAGCAACCCGCGACATGGGTAGAGGCATTGCCGACACGACTAGTTATGATGACGGCCTTGGAGACGATGACTTTATGTGATTTGATTTTTCTTGGATGGATATCTTCGATTCTTTCATTTCTTTCCGGGACAGTACAACACGAGACCTGCGAAGCCCAAGACCTATCATTCACGAGAACTGAAAGGAAGCATGACAGCAGATAGGCGTCGTTAGATTATGACTTCACTTGAAAGCAAACGATGACATGTTTTATTAGTTTATGGTCTCCTGTAAAAGAGCGATTTGAACGATCTATGTGAAGACCCGCTGCGAGTTCCCGCCTGATAAAGCTAGCTTTGCAAGGCTTGCACGCCTTGTTGACCTCGTATTGGGTGACTTGCTCTAACACTGTACGAGGTACTCGGTAGTTTTTTGCTTCATACCCCCATATTCTATTCGACCTGTTTGAGGTTTCGGGGCGTATCTACAATATGTTCGATTGAGTTGTAGCACGCTTTCAACCTGATTTCGCCGAGTCCTTTGTGTGTGTGGGATTTTCAACATAGCACGTTATATCTGCGCAGCGAACCTGAATTGATAAGTTTTGCTTCGACGGCACATTGCCGATTGCTGCCTTTTATCTGCATTTTCCCTCTTGAGCCGTTCACGACTGTGTGATTCTTACACCATGGCCCCTGAGGAGCCTTACGTCCTCGACAAGGAGCGTCATGTCAAGTACTGGAAACGGTGTGCACAACTCCTGCCCGAACCTTACACGTCAGGCGAAGCCCACCGAATGAGTTTCGGCTTCTTCATCGTGGCCGCGCTCGACCTGCTGGGAGTACTCGACACTGCCATCACCCCGTCCGAGAAGCATGGCTGGATCGAGTGGATCTACACCTGTCAAGTCCCTCACACGGGAGGCTTTCGAGGTTTCACGGGGACACTGCTAGGCGGCCAGAGGAGTTACCACAACTGGCATTGGGATCCGGCCAATCTGCCAAACACCTACTTTGCACTGGCTGCCCTGCTGGTCTTGGGAGATGACCTTTCCCGCGTGAAGAGGAAAGAATGCCTTGCGTGGGTGGCGGCTCTGCAAAGGCCAAATGGTAGCTTTGGTGAGTTCCTTGGGGAAAACGACCAGGTCGAGGGTGAAGACGATCCAAGACTCTGCATGTGCGCCGTGGGGGTCGTGAAGATCTTACAAGGACACGGCGAGCATACGAAACCGTCGAGTTTCAACGAAGCAAACTTGCAGAGGTACATCGCCAGTTGCCAGGTGAGGATTGAGTGGGATACCCAGCGACAAAACGCAGGGCTGATATCTATTCTCCTATTCTAGTCTCATGAAGGTGGTATTGGTCAAGCTCCTCTTCTCGAAGCTCATTGTATAAACCCCTCCCCGGCCTGATCATCGGTTATCCTGCTGATTTGGCTGTTAGCTGGGCTGAATTACTGTGGCATTGCGACACTCTCGTTTCTCGCCCTCCTCCAGAAACCCCCGGTGTCCGCGCAAGAGATGGCGGCACGAGCCAACTTCGACATATCCGATTGTACTCGGTGGATGCTGGATCGACAGACAACTTGGGTAGAAGAGGAAGAGGAGGACGAGGAGGAGGAAGACGAGGATACAGACAACCAGTCTGGACAACGAGTTGATACCAATAACAACAACGAAGCCCAACAAAGCTCGCCCTCCAACATGTCTGGTCTACACTCTGGCTTAGTCACAGAGAAAGCGATTGCCGGTTTCTGCGGCCGCTGTGGGAAAATCGCAGACACTTGTTACTGCTTTTGGAATGTGGGAGCTCTTGCGGTCAGTGTAGCCAGATGGTATGTACACTTGACATGCTTGACTGATGATCCAGCAGATCCTGCAACAGCATCATCTCGTGGATATTGACTCATTGAGGAGATATCTTCTGGGAAAGGTCACCCATGTTATCGGAGGATTTGCGAAAGGTCCTGGCGAACTTCCGGGTGAGTGCTCATATCGTCTCGAGGTCCCACCCCCTTGCAGACAAGTCCGTCTCCTAATACTCCTTTAGATCTCCTGCACTCTTATCTCGGCCTTGCGACATTGGCAATATACAATGAGCCCGGGTTGAAGGAACTGGATCCCACCTTTTGTATCAGTAAAGACGCTGTCCAAAGATTGGCGAAGGTGGCACAATAGCAAAAGGTGGCATCATTATACGACTTCGACCTGCGCGCGCGGGACTCGTAGGTGAGGGAGTTTCGGGTGCGGCGCAGCAAGCCCCCATCCACAGCCGAATTGAGCTTCATTCCGTCGTATTTTATTCTTGATGGACAATTTGGCTCCTCCCATACTGGCTGGTGGCTACTGGCCAACATGGCTACACGTGGCACTGGTCACATCCACAGCAACAGCACGGCCATCATACGCATGGGCATCTCCCTCTCATTCTGGTGGATGTGTGTCCCGAGTAGAGGTATGTGTGTGCGCGCATTGCCCCTTCTCATCGGTACGAACATTCCGAGTACGAGTTGCCCATAACCCCTCGCTGCGGCTCGATGCAACTCCGGGTTTTTCGAAACGGTGGCGGGTGTTTCTCGATGCTCCGCCCTCTGTCTATCGTGGATCTAATCGAAAAAGTGCATGTCAAAGCGACCAGGAGACTTGGAGCGAAAGGGGAGCGAAGGATCTGAGGGGGTCCTTTGGGGATTGCCTCTGACCACTCGCTGATCGTTGCTGTGTGCGTCGCAGTCAGCCACAGAGCCCATCACGCCTATTCAACCTCACAATTACCCAGAAGGTCATAAGCACTAGCTATTCTTAGAGGTGAATCCTTACCAATACTGTTGTTTGCTGTTAACGGGATCTAGGCTCTTCCCAGGCACATCTGCGTCTTGTCTTGAGCTGAGCCGTTCAAATTCGGATCATCTCCTTTCTCTCCCTGGCCCAGGTGCGAAATTCTTTGGAGGTGCCAATGCCCGTCCTGCTCATTGTATATCCTCGACAATTACATTCTTTTTAAGTCTGCGAGAAAAAGTCTTGAACCTATCAAGCATCTCGATCGACACCAACCGAGAAACAAGTCCACATACCAAAAGTCCCATCCGGCCAGCTGACCGCCAGCCCGCCATGCCGAAACGCACCCTCTTCACCAACATTACCCCTCTCCCTCCTCAGGTCTCGCGCGAGGTGGCGATTGCCATGCTTCACAACCACGATGAAATGATAGAGCTAAACCCGCTTGTCATCGAACATCATCCGATCAAAACTCCCCGAGATGCCCCGGCCGACGAGTTTTTGGACTGCGCCTGGCAAGAGCTGACGGACAAGATCCATTACCTGCCCGGTGGAATGGTCAAGGGGAAAGTCAGCTACAAGGCTTGCTTTCATGACACTCCAAATGGCCTCCAGACACACATATATGCTCCTATGGGCTTGGAAATCCGAGAAAAATGGACTATAGGGGGTTCTCTGCCCGGTGAACCGCCGGAGCCACGAGAACTTGGGGTGGAGGTCCCTCGAACAGGTCTCTATCTCCGCGAAGACGGCGACATGAGATGTAGCATGCTCTTGACGTCGTTTGTCCGCAAAAACCTCGACAAATCGCACAAGGTGTTGGTGGAGCGGATTCTCAAAAAGGCCGAGCGAGTGGAGGAACGAGTCCAGACCTTTGCTCCTATGACTCCTGCTCCTGAAAGCGCTCGTTTTCAAACCGGCTCCCACATGTCCAATTCGCAGTTCCTCAACGCATCTAATATTCAAAGACCCCTCTCTCCGCAGATGCTGTCGCCGCAGCAAGACATGGGCTGGCAGACAATGGCGCTTCACCCCGCTTTCCGACCTGACGAGAAGCGAATGAGTACCTACAGTCTTCCTCCATACCAGGCCAATGGTCAAATGCAACAACGAATGAGTTACTATGCACCGGTGAAGCAACCCGATCCTCCCAAACAGTTCCTGGCCGAGCTACCTGGTTCCACTTATCACACAGGTCACCTCGCACCCCCAGGTATGGCCACCCCGCCATTGGACCGCCGAACGAGCATGATGTCCGAATTGTCTGGGTCTGAGGCGACGCTCATGGGCTCACCAAATATGCAAGCTCAGTCCGACCGGGGTAGCTTGGCGGCGGAAACCCTCAGTTCCCAGAGGCTAAGCGGACAGGACTATTCGCAGGACAGTGCGCCGTCGGTTGCATCGGGCGTCTCAGGCCACCGCAGTTTCTCTGACCGAACGAGCATGATCTCGGAATTACCCTCTTCACAACCGACAGAGAACAGATACTACCAGGCCCCGAGGTCTTGAACTCAAGAACAGCGCTGGATTTTGATGATGTTAACGATCTTTCATTGTTCTTGAGACCTCAAGACGTATGTGTATAATGTATAGAGACCTAAAATGTTTGATTACTGAGCTGGGAGTTGTGGCATATGCTTTTTCACACTGGAGGGTATTTAACGGAGGGATGGAGCATCCTAAACAGTGCCGTTACCAGATCTTCATATACCAGATTATCACTTTCTTCCCACCAAAGTGTATGGCATCACCTTCTCTCCTGTCTCTCACCCTGTCTGATGATCAGCAGGGCTCTTTGTGTAACACGTGCCAGGTGGAGTAATCGGTCTCGAGTATTTGAGGAACCCTTCGCGGCGGCTGGTGGCGGGTATTCGCACTGGTGGTGGCACCCAGGTGGCACCAGGAAACCCAATTGCATCAGCAGCGGCTCTGTGGGGACAATTCCTTTCTTACGTACCTCGAGATTTCTAAACATATCATAGAGATCAGCATGTAGGTACTCCATACGTAGAACACGTAGACCATATCCGAAGGGGGGTTCTGACACGAAGAAAGCGTTGATTTTTTCCTTCTGCCAAAACGTGAGGTTGTTCAGGGATAGAGACGCCAATCGGCCCTCCACACACCCAAAAACTCGGCGCAGCTCCCACGCCTCCCTCCCGCCTTTTTCCCACCCGAGCCACCTCCACACGACCCTGACCCTGACCCTGAACGCCGTGACACGCGTTAATATTTTTGGGCCGCTGCGCAATTGGGTCTCGAGATCCCAGGAGACTCTTAAAACCGTTCCCGCCTTGTCACCACTTGCATCACCATCCCGCCCGCTGGCCAACGTCACTGATTTTACCCCCCGAGTTGTCAATAACAAAGCCCGACTCGCAGACTCGCACGACATTTTAACTTCGCAGTCTCAGACGCGCACTTATACGTTTGAACCAGACCGCGATTCGCTCCCGGCTACCCCTCGACCGCTCATCGTCGTCTCCTGAAAAAGCGCAGAAAAGGACCACCACACGGCCGGCCACGGGCGCGAGAAAAAACCCCTTTACCCCCCTCTCGGACTTGCCCACATGTTATCCTTCACCTCAAGAAACCGCAGGAAGTCGTACACCAATCTGCGGGTTTCGGTCGTCGTGAGGAATGCAAGCTCAGAGGACAAAAGCCGAGCTTCAGCAACATAAAGCAAAAGTAGGACTACCATTGGCGCATTCTGGGCCCTTGTTTCGTGTGTGCATGAACCTGAGCTGACTGACGACGGTGCAACAGCTTGCCAGCTCGTACTCGGAATTACTCGAGTAAGATATTCTTACCGCGGTCCTCCCTCTCCCGTTGTCTCCGCTGACCCTTCCACTCCAGACAGTTCACCTCGAAAGACCTCAAGACTGTGGGAAACTATTCGTTAGGAAAACTCATTGGAAAAGGCTCCTTTGGCAAGGTCTATCTTGCCAAGCACAACCTGACAAATGGCTCAAAGGTCAGTCGTGGTCTGGACGACACATGGCACCTCTCAGACCACAGCAGCAGTTCGCTGACCAGAAGTCCGAGTAGGTGGTACTCAAGGCCTCGAGTAAAGACGACCCGAACCTCGCCAGAGAAATCCACCATCATCGACAATTCATCCACCCTCATATCGCTCGACTATACGAAGTTATAATCACCGAATCTCTTGTGTGGCTAGTTTTGGAATATTGTCCTGGTATGAAGAGATACAACTGCACCACTCGGGAAGGGTCTGCGGACTAACCAACGCTCCAGGTGACGAGCTGTACAATTATTTGTGTAAGAATGGGCCACTTCCCGTCGAAACTGTTCAAAAGATCTTCACTCAGCTGGTCGGCGCCGTTGCATATATCCACAGTAAATCATGTGTTCACCGAGATTTGAAATTGGAGAATGTCCTTCTGGACAAGAATGACAACGTTAAGCTTTGCGATTTTGGCTTCACCAGAGAGTACGAGGGGAAGGCCAATTATCTTCAGACATTCTGCGGCACAGTATGCTACAGTGCACCAGAGATGCTGAAAGGCGAGAAATATGCGGGCGAGAAAGTTGACGTTTGGAGCCTGGGGATCATTCTTTATGCGCTCTTGAAGGGGGAACTGCCCTTTGATGAAGACGACGATGCCGCCACAAAGGCCAAGATATTGAAAGATGATCCCGTCTATCCCGACACCTTTCCGGAATCCGCAAAGACTCTAATCTCCAAGCTTCTCTCGAAGCGGCCCCTGTACAGACCCAGCTTGTCAGATATTCTCGCGGACCCCTTCCTGTCGGACCATGCCCCTCACCAACAAGCAATCCTAAAACTCTCACAGCCAGCAGCTTTTACTACTCAATTGGAAAAGGACACGCTCGAACGAATGAAGTCGGCGGGCGTGGATATCGACAAGGTCATTGAGAATGTACTTTCGCAGCGCTGTGATACGCTGGCCGGATGGTGGGCGTTGCTCATTGAGAAAGAAACGAGGAAGCAAGCCCGCAAGGAACGGAAGCGGAAGGACAGAGAAGCGGAGTTGAAGATTCTCAGGCGATTGAGTGGAGCTAGCGCCAGGTTGGAAAGGATCGCGCCCACGCTGGTCGAAGTCGACGAGGAGCATTCTCCTGGTGAAAAGCAGGTTGAAGGCCGTCGGAGCACCAGCCGCGGCAGGACACAACGACGAAGCACGCCACAGATACTGGTGGGTGACTTGCCTCAACTTCCTGAGGGGGATGTCATCAGATCTCCCGGGGCTGAAACTCCGCCGCCGCCACCAATTGATAAAGACTCTGTACGCTCTCGGAGCGGCTCTCGACCTCCCATTCCACCCAAGGAACGCAATCGACGGAGCAGCACGCTCCAACTCGTGACAACGAACCCCGACCTGCTGGGCCCCTTGAACGGAGTGAACAAGAGGCGAAGTGGAAAGTTTCGCAATCGACAATTTCTGAGCCAGCTCACAGCGTTGAAGCAGTGGATCGTCGACTCGACGAAGCGAGCCAGATCACCAGTCAGTCCTAGGATCGACAGAATCTTGAACGGACATTCCAACAACACCTCCAAAGCAACTCTCTCCAGAGACTCCAACCAACTCAACAAGAGCACCAAAAACGTTGCAGCCGCCGCAAATCCAGATAGATCCTCGAACGGGTCTGCACTCATTCCCATCATTGCCAACGCCAAACCTCTTCCCTCTGTCAAAAATCCCGCGCCTAGGATCGATACGGCCCGTGGCAGACCTCATCGCAACTCTCTCTCGCCCTCGCCTGTGACGCCCCGCTCTTCGTACCGGCGCAGTTCCACGGGTCTACGGAGCCGAAAATCAACATCCTCCTCCGTGTCATCAATCCGAAGCATGCCACGACACACCTCTCACAGTAAAGCGTCCTCGCAAAGTTCTAACAGCCTCGACACGGTTCAGAGTCCTACGAGCCGTACGGTCAGTCTCAACGGCCGTTCCCCTCACCCCTCCATCAAAGTCCTCCCTGTGACACCTACCGCGAACGCCTTCCCTTCAAATGTTCGAATAGTTCGGACGCCGAGAGGCTCCGAAGTCGGCCTTCAGCCTCGTCCGCTCTCTGGAGTGGGCACCGAGATGTTCAATCATCCACCAGGTACTCCACATGCCCACACATTCGGATCGAACGTCATGTTCGCTCGGCGGAAGAAATCACCATTCAAAGGCCCCATGCTCAACTCTGCTTTCTTCTCCGCATCAAGCCTCCCTGTTGCATTCGGTAGCCCTGCTATCGCTGGTGCCGGAAGACACCGTGAAGGGTCAGATGGAAAGCTCAACTTGGGCCTCAAAGATTTTGTGGCCGGGGGTGGTCGAAGAAACAGCAGTTCCAAGAGGAAGAATCAAATCATCGAAGAAGAGGAAGAAGATGAGCAAGCCGTCATTGGGGAAGACGACGAGGATGTCGAAGAAGTCGACGCGTTCCACGCGGTGCATCTAAACAAGGGTGAAAGACTCGACAGCATAACGATTTGGAATGATGCCGTTCCAGACGGCGCAGCCGCAGACGAGTATGGCGACAACGACAGACGAAAGTCAGCCGCTGAAATTTATACATGATGCTGCGGTGCGAACGAACCCGTTAGAATCCACCTCCCCCCTCTGTCCTTGATGGGTCAAAAAGGGGGTAATCGAAGAACAAGGAAGTTATGAATATGCTTTTTGAGGGGGGCTGTCAACCTCTCTTTCGATCACATACTTTGAGCGAGCAGCAGTTGTATGTCTTTGGACAGAATTTTCTGTCTTGTCGAGGATGGCATGGATCCAGGCTGAGGGCCCGAAAAATCTTTTTCTTTTTTTACCTTCCGACGAAAATACAGTAATGGATATGACACGGCTTGTTGATAGGTTTTAGCCTTAATTCTTTCTTGTACGATATCATATAGCAAGAAACAACTGGGGTTCTTTCTCTGTGGTGCTGATAAAGGCTGAAGTAATATTGAGTCAAGTCGGGAGATGGCTCGCGATTTCTACAAGGCTGGCACTCCCCGCATATCTTCTGACTAATGTCAGCCTCGTCGGAAAATTGATTCACCGAGCGAAGGAGTTCTTTGCCTCCAAGGCTTGATTGATGGCGTCTCTGGTCTTGTCTTTCCAACTTCTGGGCTTGACACTAACCATAAACTTCTGTTGCCATTCCCTTCATCTTCTTCTCAAGAAGCCCTTTTTCTTAGGTCGAGAGTCTCAGCTTTTTGCACCCTAAGAGACTTTGCCATACCAACCCTTCCACCCGGACGAGGACGACAGAAAGTCCACGGCCGGCGCAACAGACGCCAACATGGCGGAAACAATGGTGAACGGCCACCGCGAAGTTGAAATGCCAGCACCTCCTGTTGACCCTATTTCAAGACCACAGACACCTCCGCCTCCCCCGTCCGCTGAGACTGAACCTCCTCCACCTCCGCTAGAGGCGAGGTTTGCGCCACCTCCTCCGCCTACAGACTCAAGTGTGCCCCCTCCCCCGCCAGAGCCGGTGCCACCTCCTCCTAGCGATGACCTAGAATCTGAAACAACCGTTGTCCGGCCGCAACCTCCGAAGAAGAAAGGATGGGGCGCGACAAAGGCGCCGAAAGCGACGCCACTGAGCGTGGAGGAACTGCTCAAGAAGAAGAGAGAGGCCGACCTCGCGGCCAGTAAGCCCAAGTTTCTCTCTCGGGCGGAGCGTGAAAGACTTGCTTTGGAGAAGCGACAGAAGGAGGTCGAGGCCGCTTCCGCCCAGAAACAGCAAAACGGTGTCGTACGGAACGGTTCCTCTGCGCCGTCGGAACCGCCCAGGCCCAGTCCAGCGCCCACGGGGCCGAAGGCTCTACGGAATGGGGGAGATGTGCCCACAGGTCCTGCTGCCATGCGGTCACGAGAACCCAACAGGGGCGTCAACTTTGCGCCACCTCCTGCACCTAAAGCGATTGCGTTTGGTGGTGAATCCCGGGCACAAAAGCGAGGCGCCGAGGACGACCGGACTGAGAAGGCCGAAACAGAGATTATCCGACAGAGGTACATGGGTGCCGACATGAATGTGTCGACCTTTTCTGCCTTGAAAAAGCGACGGCGAACGACGGAAAAGAAATTCAACTTTGAATGGAACGCCGAAGAGGACACCACACCGGATTACAATCCCATCTACAACAATCGCGCCGACGTTACCTTCTTCGGGAGAGGTCGCCTGGGTGGTTTTGATGAACAGGCGGCCGATGCAGCTGCACGAAAGTATGCAGAGGCGTTGCAGTCGAGAGACACAGTCGCCGGAGCTGCCCGCGCCCAGGAGATTCTCGAGATGGAGCGCAAGAGGAAGGAAGAGTCCGGCCGGATGGCCATCGACAAGCACTGGAGCGAGAAGAAACTGGAGCATATGCGCGAACGCGACTGGCGCATTTTCAAGGAGGATTTCAACATCAGCACGAAAGGTGGCGGCATCCCCAACCCCATGCGCAGCTGGAAAGAATCTGGACTTCCGAGGAAGCTGTTGGAAATCATCGACCAAGTGGGATACGTCGATCCCTCACCTATCCAACGGGCCGCCATTCCTATCGCACTTCAAAATCGCGACCTCATCGGTGTGGCAGTCACAGGTTCCGGCAAAACTGCAGCCTTCCTCCTTCCCTTGCTCGTGTACATCGCCGAGCTTCCCCGACTAGACGAAGACGATATGCGGCGCAACAACGGGCCTTACGCCATCATCCTTGCTCCCACCCGTGAATTGGCACAGCAGATCGAGATTGAAGCCAAAAAGTTTGCAACGCCGCTGGGATTCACGGTCGTGTCAATCGTCGGAGGTCACAGTATCGAGGAACAAGCTTACAATCTACGCAACGGCGCCGAAATCATCATCGCGACACCGGGTCGTCTAGTGGATTGTATAGACCGCCGCATCATCGTGCTGGAGCAATGCTGCTACGTGATCATGGACGAAGCAGACCGCATGATCGACCTGGGGTTCGAAGAGCCTGTGAACAAGATCCTCGATGCTCTACCTGTGACTAATGAGAAGCCTGACACTGAAGACGCGGAAGATGGCAGGGCCATGTCCCGCCATCTGGGTGGAAAAGACCGGTATCGCCAGACCATGATGTATACGGCCACCATGCCTGCCGCAGTCGAGAGGATCGCACGAAAATATCTGAGAAGGCCGGCGATCGTGACGATCGGCAACGTGGGTGAGGCTGTCGACACTGTCGAACAGCGGGTAGAGTTCGTGGCTGGCGAAGACAAACGCAAGAAGAGACTGAACGAGATCCTCTCTAGTGGAGAGTTCCGTCCACCGATCATCGTCTTTGTCAACATCAAGAGGAACTGTGATGCCGTTGCCCGGGACATCAAGTCTATGGGATTCAGCAGTGTCACACTGCACGGGTCCAAAACGCAGGAACAGCGCGAGGCGGCTCTGCAGTCAGTGCGGGACGGCAAGACCGATGTCCTGGTCGCGACCGACCTGGCCGGTCGTGGTATCGATGTCCCCGACGTGAGCTTGGTGGTGAACTTCAACATGGCGACCAACATCGAATCCTACACCCACCGTATCGGGCGTACGGGCCGAGCTGGCAAGTCGGGCGTGGCCATCACGTTCCTGGGTAACGAAGACAACGACGTGTTGTACGACCTGAAGCAGATGTTGATGAAGAGCTCGATCAGCAGGGTGCCGGAGGAGCTGAGGAAGCACGAAGCGGCACAGCAGAAGAGAGGCGCCGGGCTGGCGGGCGGCGACAAGATGAAGGGCGGCAAAGGCGCAAGTGATGAGAGCGGTGGCTTTGGAGGGAAGGGTGGTGGTGGTGGTGGTGGTGGGTGGTAGGAGTAGTTGATGCTGATCAAGGCATGATCTGTTCGTGTATCATTCATTCATTTATTTACTCTTCGAGACCTCCCAGAGACCTTCTCTTTGGGACCTCCCCAGTGCCAACCTTACCAACAGTACTTATTTACTTCCTTACCTACCGCCTAGCTGGCTCGCTCAATGGGAGGAGTGAGTGACGATGATTAAAATGCTACAATATCCAGAGGACAGAACAAGACGAGGAAACACGAGTCCTGCGAGCCTACAATATAAGACCCTGACCCCCTGAAATCCAGAGCCTTGTTCCATCTACATATACCATACCTACCTACCTACTTACATACTTATAAAGACGAGGTCGTTAAACTGAAACTGCTGAGGAAGGAAAGGAAAGGCAGAGATAGAACATAACATGAAAAGCGAGAGAGAAAGACAGCAAGAGAGAAGGACAAAACCACAATCCGATTGGACATTCGATCCGTCAGAGACAGGCAGTCCATCAGGGGTGGTTCGTTCTATGTATGTACATGACAACTCCATGCATCACATGCATGGATGCTGGTCGGTAGTCAAAAGTCCAAAACCCAAAGCCCCAAAATGCAAGTCCCATAATCCAACAAACTCCTTGCTTGAAGCCAAAGTAATTAAGAAAAACCTCCTCATAACAAAGTCATCGTCACATCAACACCAAATAGATATATCATCAGGCAGGCGTCGGTGGGCCAGGGTCAAAGAAACCAAAAGCCTACAGAATCAGATCAGGTCAGATCAGATCAGATCGGACTCCTCCTCAAAGCACCCACGCGCTTGATGGGCGTGTGCATCATGGCTTCCTGCATCTCGGGCGGAATGGCCGCCCTGGGGATCACGTCGTCCCACCCGGCAGAGTCGATGCCACGTTTATCTTCCAGCGGTGCTTGCTGTCGTTGTTGCTGCTTCTGAGGGGTCATCTTGCCAGAGACCGATAGAGATGGGTTGAAGTTCTCTTTCTCGGCCGCAGGGTGCGCAGGTTGATGTTGGGTCAGAGCCTGAGGCTGAAATTTCTCGAGGCGCTGCTTCGGAACTGGAAGAGCTTTCTTTTGTAGTGGGTTGGTTCGTTTAGGAGCCAGAGGGGAGCGCTTGGGCGCCACTGGAGTGGTCGCTGAGGTCAGGGTCGAGGTTGAGGTCGAAGGGACTGTTGCCGGTTTGGAGGCGACAGTCGATGCAACAGGCTGAGGCTCAGGCTCAGGTGCAGAAGCAGTCGTGACAGCCACCTTCGTCCCTGATCTCGCCTTGTCCTGTACACGCAGCCACTCTTCGAAGCCATGGATGGCACTGATAAACGCTCCTTCGCCCAGGCTTCTACTCTCAGCCTCCTTTCCCAGTGCATGTTGCACTTTCCTACCCTTTCCACCACTCAACAGTTCGACCGAGCTGCCATAGATTGCATTTGCAGTTACGCTGGTCGATGCAACAATGTCGCCGTCGTTCAGAATCGCGACTGTGACCGCGAATTCGATATCAACCCGCCCTTGCTTCGGCGTGATCAGAACGACCTTGACCCCGAGTTTCTCGTCACTTAGGATGGAGGCTGTCGTGATGCCCACGAGGTTCAGAAGTCGGAGTTCTTCGGAAATTTTGCATGCAAGATCCCAACCCTGAGAAACAGTTGACAGCATTGTTCTGGGCGATACGGACCGTTTGGGCATCATTGCGAAGGCGTGCAATTGGCTTCTGACCAACTGCAAGAAGAAGCGTTTCTCGGTTGGTGGCTCGGACGGTTTGACATCAGAGTCTTCTTCGTCTGTGGGAGCATAAGTCAAGCTAAGAGGCGCCGTTGGACCGCTAGTTGATGCCGACTTCCTCCCTGATCTGCGCCGCGGTGCATCTGAAGCCTTGGATTGGAAAGCTTGAGGGTAGAAGAAGAGGCGTAGATCATCCTTGTACATCATGGTGAGGGCAGGCCCAAAGTCGGTTGGTTCATCCACCTCTTCTTCCACAGCGATCAATCGCCAGCCGGTTTGTTTCTCGGTGGCATTTACCCTCGACCTTAGGTCCAGGACATCGGCGACAGGCCAACCCTTGCTTTCTTCCCTGACTCGGTCTGCCTCTGCAATCTGATCATTCATCTCGGTCTTGAGTTCGGCGGCAGCTAGTAGTGCCTCTTCTTTCTCTCGCATCTGTTCGTGCAAGGAGTCGAGCAAAGCAGATCTTTGAAGATAGTATTCGTCGGCATCCTGCAATTCACGCCGGCAATTGGTCAATGACTCATGATGGATACTGTCCAGTTCTTCCAGACTCTGCTGTAGCGATGCCTTTCGGTTCTCGAGATCAGTTCGCTCTTGATTAAGCCGAGGAAGCACTGAGTCCAGTATCTGTTGCTGTTGTTGTAAGAGTTGAAGGTCAGCGTGTATACCATGGTCGATACCCTCTAGCCCATTCTTGAGGCCTTCTACCAGCTGTGCTCTCCACTGATACCAGCCCTCCTTGCTTTGCAGACGAGCGTTGGCCTTGCCGTTGCGAAATTGGTTGTCCATCACTACCTTCACGTCAGGGCGAGCATCGACGTATTCCCGGAAAAGTGGTGGCTGGTCGGCCAGGGTTTCTGCTTCGATAGAGCGGATTATCTTGCGACCGGCCGAGATATACGACTTGAGCTCTCGCGTGGCATGCTGATACAGTTCAAGGAGCGGCAATGTGGTGGCAGCCGCAACAAAGTTATCCGCTGTGTTGCTGGCGTCTATATCTGCCTGGGATCCCGAGGCCGGCATTGACTGTGCCATTGTGTGTCTCCGCTTCGTGGTTGACAGTTCGATGAAATGAATATTGGTCATGTTCAAGAACTGCTGGAGAGAGATCTTGTCCTCTTCACTCCGGGCCGATCCTTCTTCCATCTGAATGGTGGAAATGTCAATAGCTCCAACCACGTTATCAAGTTTGTCCTCGAACGATTCTGGTCTTGCTTCATCGTTGACCTTGACATCTTTGAAGCGTCGAGTAGTGCCTGGGCTCGGTGCTATCGTGTGTTTAGTAGGCGACGCTGGTCCGAGACTTGGAGTTGCATTAGCACTGTCAGCCATCTCCTGGAGAGATTTCTGAAGTCTCGTGCTAAATCTGCCAGTCGTTTCGTCCTTGGTAGGTGGTTTCGGTAAATGAACCTTTTTCACTGGGCTCCCTTCTCTAGAAACCGCTCTTAAGCGCTTCGGAGTTGAGTCGTCATCGTCCATATCGAGTTCTGCAGGCCGCTTTCCTAGAAGACCTTTAGCACCTCCAACTGCAAGGCTCTTTCTGCCTTTGAGCTTGCCAGATTTTGGTTTCTGCGGCGTCATCGACTCAATCATGTCTTTCAGCTGTAAAGTGACATTCTCGTCCTGAGGCTCGTCGGCTTCTTGTTCCATGACAAATCTGCCGCTCTCTCGACGCTGCTCTTCTGCTCTTTCGGCTTCGACCTCTCGCGCAACTTCTTGTGGGTCTTCACAACGCAACGTTGTAGGCTCAGTACTAGCAAGCTTGAACTGAGGCGCTGCGTCTCCAATTGAGGATCGACGGTCCAGTAGTTCGGTCACTCGCGGACAGCCGATCCCATCTTTGTCAATACCAATCCCACTTGATCGTCGACGCCCTAGGTGAGATTTGGGTGCTTTCAGGACGACACTGGGAGTCTGATTGCCTGGGGAAAAAAGTGCGTTTCGCTTTGCAGAGGCTGGTGATGCCCTGGCTTTGATTTCGGCTTTGAACAGCTTCTTTGGCGAAGCACTTCGGTGCGAGACATTTGCAGACAATGGAGTTTTGTTTGGAGACTCAGGTCGCGTAGGGAGTGGAGTGATTTGCTTTGATGGAGTGCCCTCCTGTTTCCTAGTCTGTGACTTGACCGGTGTGCTATTATGTTGTGTAGTTTGCGGAGTAGCAGCAGTTTTCGTGGCGCTTCGCTGGGACCGGCCTGACAGTCGTGGCTTCAAAGCAATGCTCGGACTGCCAGTCTCTGAGGCTATAGAGGTTCGATGTTGGTGCGACTTTGGTGGGGACTTCGGAGTGGTTTGGTCAAGTGGTACGTGTTGTGGTGAAGAAAGCATGGTGTCTTCAGGAGACTGTCTTGTCGTCTCATTGCCGTGTTTGACAAGGATGCCACCTACCGCCCTGGTCATGTCCATGGCTACGGTCTGCTCCTCCACATCCGTCTGGGGCTCGGTCTGCTCCTCAATAGGGGGCAGGATTCCCCCGGCGGCAGTGGTCATGTCCATGGTCTCATTTTCATCCGACTGAGTCGAGCCGATCGAGTATCGACTAGCAGCTCCACTCAGGACACCTCCAGCCACCTGTGTGAATTCCATGCTGATATCTTCGTCGGACACACGGCTGTTCACTGTCTCTTCAATCCCAGCAGAGATGATCCCTCCTTGGATAGCTGTGAAGTCCATAGTCTCATCAAAGACGGATTCACTCCCAGATGAGCGGCGATGGCGCATGCTGCTTCTGCGGCGTGAGAGAGGTGATTTTGAGCCTTTCTTGCCGGGAGACCGACTCGTCACTATACCACCAACAGCACTTGTGACATCCATACTCATCTCGCCACTTTGATCCCCATTTTCGTCATCAATCTCTGGGTCGTTGTCGTGAGTTATTGGTGGCGGATGAATGTATGTGACCTGGTTTTCCTGCTCGTCCATCTCGTTGCTTTGGATTCCATGAGCCCGACCTTGTGCCCAATTCTGGAAGGCGTTTGTTACAGTACCCGTCACGATCTCCATGAGAGAGTCCTCGCCATGCTCGTCATACTCTATACCGCGGGTTCCAGCCTGTTCGGCAGCTTGCCGCAGGCGTTCTTCCAGACTGGAAGGGGTGCTTGATCCAGAATCCTCAGAAGCTACCGTATGTGAAGTAGCGTCTTCCAGACTCATCGCCGTATCGCCATCGGTGTCTGACTCATCTGAAGACTCGATACCTTCCTCGTAGTTAACAGGACTGCTATTAGTGGTGACATCTCCCGAGGGACTCGAAGAATACGTCAGCTCTTCCCCATCGAGCGTGGGTTCTGCGAGACCTAAGCTTCTGCGGCTGCCTTTACTTTGGCGGACGCCCCTCTGCTTCGCAGGAGACTCCTTGACCAGTGGCTCTTCAGTCTGCCCAGCAGGAGTCGAAGGCGCATCTGCCGGTTCAGGTGATGGTATCGATTTGACGGGTGACTGTGCTGTCATCGAGGATTGGCGTCGTGTGGAACTGGAGGCCGAACTTGTAGTCGAGTCCTCAGCAAGTTCCATGACGCTCCACGTATGCAAGGTAGCCTCGGGCGCGAACGACACTCGACGATTTGCCAGCGATTTCCTCCTCGCCGCTCTCCGTTCCAATATAGCCTCCTTCTCTGCCTTGCGCTTCCGCTCCTCTTCCTGTTCGCGCTCTCGGGCTTCCGCACTTCCACCCGCTCCCTCGGCTTTCCTGGGAGATCGTCGCGCCATAGGACTAAAGGGGTCAGCGACATTCTCAGCACCTGACATTGCGACCGCGCCTGCATTCTGCCCACTCGGCCCTGGAGTGGAGAAGTCGATAAGCAGCTCTTCGGCGTTGTTCTTCGTCTGTGCCTTGTCTTTTCCCGTACTCCGCTTGCGCAGTTCGTCAAACGACGGTATAGCTTTAGGAGGTGTCAGAGGTATGGAAGGTTTGAGTATGGATTTGATTTGAAACGGCGTCGTAGGCTGCCAGAGAGTCAACAAATGCGCCATATCACCACATCGTAGTTTCGTGATTACCTTTGTTGCGTTTCCCGTCGACTCCTTCAGAGCTTCCAGTCCGCCTGGACCAAGACTCTTGCCACGCGACTTCTTTTTTACCGCCCTAGCCTCTGTGTGTCGAGCTTGAAGGGCAGCAATATCCGTTGTCGCATTGTCCCTCGACGAGTGCGTCTTCGCGGACGGCACGTGCGCAATTGATTGTCGGGATTTAGGTCTGCTAGACCTCTGATCTGTAGTAGAATCGGCCATTGGCAGCGCCTTATCGCCTCACCGAGGCATTCAATCTGTAGGGTTGTTCTAAGGATACTCTTTGCATTGCTCCCAATGATGTTTGGTTCCAAAAGTCGAGGCCCCAATCCGCGTCCCCACCAGTAGCCTCACCGTGACGAGCTAAACCTAACCAAGGTTTTATGTAAACACGAGTGGGTGGCGAAAGCACGTGATTTGTCGCTCGCCAGTTGAGGACTAGCCTCTTCTGATGTCTTGGCAGAATTTTGAATGCGCACCATCAATTGTCCACAGGCAAAAGGTTGCTAGCGTTGTGCCCGATTGTAAAATTCCAACCACTTGCGCCCACTTCAACTTCCTTCCTGTCAACAACATCCGCAACCATGGCGACCGAGTTGACAGTCCAGGCCGAGCGCGCCTACCAGAAGCAGCCTCACATCTTCCTCAACCACAAATCCAAGGCGGCGAAGAGCAGGAGAGTCGGCAAGGGCGGGCGAAGATGGTACAAGGACGTCGGGTTGGGCTTCAGGACGCCAAAGACTGCGATTGAGGGATCGTACATTGGTCAGTGGTTTCCGGTGCTCAGTTGTTCTTCCACTGGGGAATTTTTGAAGGGATCTTTCCCTAGTTGCAGCGTCAAACGGGGGAAACTACTTGTTGGGTAAATTTCATCATTCTGACAATCTCTGGCAAAACAGACAAGAAATGCCCCTTCACCGGCATGGTTTCGATTCGAGGCCGTATCCTCACCGGCACCGTCGTTTCCACCAAGATGCACCGAACCTTGATCCTCCGTCGGGAATACCTCCACTTTGTCCCCAAATACGCCCGGTACGAGAAGAGGCACAAGAACCTGGCCGCACACGTTTCCCCGGCTTTCCGTGTGGAAGAAGGTGACCAGGTCACCGTGGGCCAGTGCAGACCTTTGAGCAAGACTGTAAGAACCCGCCTTTTGCTGTTCTCGGAGAGCCCCGAATTTCTTTCAGAGGTTCCTTGACGCAAGCATGAGCACAAGACTAACCGTGCGGGAATATCTCCAGGTCCGATTCAACGTTCTCCGTGTGTTGCCCCGAACAGGAAAGGCGGTCAAGGCGTTCCAGAAATTCTAAGCAGGAATAAAAGGACGGCTGCGGTTGTGGTGGTGGGTGGTGATGCAAAGTCAATCCCCCAAAGGAGAGTGAGTCCGAATGTGAGGGCGTGCTGTTTACGCACAATTGAGCAAGGACACACGGGGCACGACGACGGCACGACGACGCCTGTGGATGAAGATTGTGGCACGAGGTCATTTTCGGCGTCTGGAAGCACAGATCAGATCAGATCAGAGTCAGATGGTCTGTTGCTGGCGCGGGGCCAGGCATGAAAAGCGCCGGTCTTCGAAAATTCAATGAACAACGTCTAACCAAAAAATCCTCAAATCGCATACCAGTTTTGATCTGATTGTGTATTGTCATGTCTACGGGACGTTCTAACGGGTCTCTATATCCAAAACTTTCTTTGGTGTTTTGTCTGTGATGAACTCCGCCTTCGAGGTACCCAGGCCCATGTTTTTGTCTCTCTCAAGTCTCGAGATAGGCGAAGCCAACTTCGGCCTTGAGCGGCGGATAGCCCGAACTGTCCACCACGGGCAGGATGCTGATCTTCCTGGCCGTCTCCTTGGTGTCTGCCTCGATCCACCGCTTGACCTCGCCCTCGTCGCTCCAGTCGCTGATCAGCTCGTCCCCCTTGCCGATCTGATGTAGTTGCGTGCCCGTAGACTGGGTGTTTAGGGGCAACGGCGAAAAGTTCTCAATGGCGCCCGTGATCTTCCCGCTCAGGAGCTCTCTGGCAAGGTACGGTTCTTGGGCGAAGGGTCGGCCGAGACCGACCCCGTCACAGGCGCCGCACTCGACGGCCCTGACCATGCCCGCCGCGGTCCTCAGGCCGCCCGTGATGTACACCTTGGTCTCCTTCAGGAGCGGGCGGATCATCTCGGCGAACTCGATAAAGTAGGCCTCGCGCGCCTTGGTGCTCTCCTTTTTGTGCTCAAAGGCTCGGCTCTCGAACGTGCCGCCGCTCAAGTCGACAAAGTCCACGCGCGCCTTTTCCAGCTTCAGGCACAGGTCCCGCGCGTTCTCGGGCGTGGTGCCTTTGTCCTGGAACTCGACCGAGTTGAGCTTCACGCAGATGATGAACGACGGGTCCGGCACGCGGCGTTGGATCTCCTCGATGATCTCGAAGACGATGCGGGAGCGGTTGTTCAGGTCGCCGCCATACTCGTCGGTGCGGCGGTTCGTGGTGGGACTCAGGAACTGGGCTAGCAGGTAGCCGTGGGCGCAGTGCACTGTTCAAAGAGGGGAGCAGTCTCAGCCTTTGTATGATTGATCTCAGTCTTTCCAAGTGCCTACCTTGGACGCCATCAAATCCGGCTTTCCAGCAGAGATACGCAGTCTCGCCCCAACTTTTCACCATTTCTTTGATCTCCGGGATGGTCAAGGGTCGCGGCTTGTTGAACTCGTTCCCCGCCCACTTGATGCTCAGCTGGATATCGCTCGCGCTGACGGGGTTCGGGTTCAGGTACTTGCCGCCCTGCCTTCCCGGGTGGGAGAGTTGGGCAATGAAGAGCGAGCCGTGAGCCTTTGCGGCGTCGGCGACTTCCTTGAACTTTGCGAGGCGGCCATCGTGGTCGTCGACGAGGATGGGGTTGCCGTATGCCTCGACCGCGTCATAGCGGACCATGATGTTCCCACTGACAATGATGCCGATCTCGGCCTCGCCCCATCGTCGGTAGAGGTTGAGATACTCGGGACTGGGCATGCCTCGAGCGGACTGTGTTAGGGTCAATAGACGTAACCCGAAAGGGAAGGGTGACATACAATATCCTCGCCTTCTTTGTTCCAATGGCACAGTCTCTCGGTCATGGGTGCCTTGAGGAACCTGTTCTTCGCGGTTCGACCGGAGAAGGCAAACGTGACGGGCTGGTTGAGGATGGAGACGTCTGTCGGGTCGCATTGAATCCTTATGCGCCCTCGATTCGGGCTGGTGGTGTTCTTTTCATGCTTGACGTTACCCGTGATGGGTGCGCCGTTGAGGGTAGACGTATCGTATTCCATCTTCACTGCAACCTATTCTTTTTCCCAGGTTCTCCTTCTCGGTCTCCTACCTTCTTTCTTTTTGAGTCTATCCAAAGAAATTTCTCAGTATCTCAAGTCCAGAACTCTCTGGTACCGAGTATTCAGACGTTTTGCTTTATCTTGCTCTTTTATCCACAAACGATGTACGATGTATATCCGACAAACTCCCTCTACCGAGAAAACACTTGATGCAGTGACTTGGACAGACCTCCACGGACTTTGAGAGATTCAAAAAACTCCGCAAAGTACCATTGAGGGGCTAGCTTTTCGAGACAAGGGATTACTTGTCCCGCGGCTGTTTGATCACCCAGGCCACCGGGGGGTTCTGGCCTTTGTTGGTGTCCTTCCTCTCCGAGGCTCATGCCGAAGTAAGTATCTGCAATGGGCTTGAACGGGTACACACATGGTGGAGTGTGGTGTGGTTGAATTGGAGAATTGACGAGGAGAAAGATCCGAAACAAATGCGGGGAAGATTAGAGGCTAGCGGGTCTCCGTTCACAATATTCGAGGGTTATATACAACATACATCATAAAAGTGATCTGATTTGTCACACAGATAAAATAGTTCCTTAGTGTAGTGGTTTATCACATCTCCTTTACAATCATCTCGTTGCCTCACCTCATTGCAGAGGCGCAACGAAAGTCTTGGCGCGGAGAAGGTCATGGGTTCGATCCCCATAGGAACTAATTTTTTTGGGTGTTCTTGAGTGGCTCCATTTTTTTGCTCGGTTCTACTGCAGGAGTACATTGCAGTGGGATGTGGAGAGTTGTTACTTGGTTGGGCTTGTGAGGAAAATGTTTTTGGCGCCGTTCTCACAGGTTTCTTGCTATTGAATACTCCGATGTGGTACGGTCGTCCTTGCTGTGCTGTGCTGGACGACGGGGGAAAGGCCATCGCCTGAAGCTTAGTTTGGTTGGGATGGTTATCGTCAGAGTTTTTGCAAGTGTCGAACAATCGGGTCGGGGACTAGTTGAGGGAAGAAATAATTAAGGAGGTTGAAGTGGACGTCAGTGCTAGGTAGGTAGATGAGGTGTATTCACGAGGTACGGGATGGGCTGGCGAACAACAGACGGGGTTGCAAGCCCCTGAGCACCGATACCAATCAGGCCATCCAGCTGTCATTCACTACAGGTTGGGTGGGACTTGATATATTGAAGTATCATTTTCTCCCCCTTCCGGACGGAACCATCTCTGTGCCTCATCGAGCGACCACCCTCAGAAGCTCCATCCCAACACCCACCACCAGGATACTCCATCCTCTCTCGGCCCCACCCTTCTCACCGTGCCCTACATCATTTTCCATAGTCCCGGGCTCGTCCTCGATAATGTCCAAATCACTGACGTCCGCAACTGCCGTCCATCCAGCTCCGACGAGTCTCACCTGGACGGCCTCGAAGAGCTCATCTTGCCCGACGTGGGGAATGACAGGCTCACCGTCCCTACCAGAGTCGACATGGACATCCCAGACGTTGACGCGCTGGTCGTTCCCCACGGTCACCACGACAACCGAATAGCCCGTTTGTGTGCGTCTGAGGTTCGTGGCTTTCAACGTCGTGAGGGCTGCGGCGTGGGCGGCAGGAATGAGCAGCGTCCGGAAGTGGTAGGAGGGTGCTTGTCTTTCGGTGTTGGTCTCTAATGCGGGCGCGATCGTAGATGAAGGTAAAGCAGTAAGCAGTGTCAGGCCTAGTGCGTTGTCATCGCCGCCGGTCGCGACGAGGTAGGTTGTGGGACTGAGGCGTATCATGTCCATGGCAAGGACGCTGCTCTGATGCACCTTGTGGACTTCCATCGGCGATTCAAGCGCTGTATCGGGCGAAACAGTCGACCGATTAGACGGAGAGCGGGGATTCAGAAGGCTGAGGTTTAGGATCCCGTTGGTGCCCGCCGACAACGCTCCCACTCGAAGCTCGTCAGATCCAAAGGTCGAAGCTGGGATGAAGCTCGGCGAAAGGAAGAAAGCCTGCATCACACAGAAGGAACCGTAGCTGATTTCTCGCAGCGTCTCAAACATCTCGTTACTCCTGCTGGATCCAGGTGTATAGCGTACCACCTTTGCCTTTCCGTTCGAGTACGCCATCACGATCGTGTATTCCTCACTTGCGTTCTCGTCTTCAGAGTTGCTACACTGCAAATCAAAGCTCATGATCCGCGCATCCGAGTCTTCTTCCCGAGTCGGCATCATGTCCCATAGTACCACTCCGGTTTCAATGCCGGGCACGTCAAAGGTGACTTTCCACGCAAAGAATTCTTCGCATCCAGCACTGCTAAAGATGTATCTACCCGACGGTGAGAATTGGAGATGTTGGATGCCCGTATTGTGTCGCTTCAGAGTCGACACGGCGCGAAACGCAGAGGTGTCTGGTACGGATTCCCCAGATGGTCGAGGTCGGCATGTAGCTTTCGCGGTACGAGGTATAGCAAAGAGCTGAATGTTGGTGTCTTCAGCTCCTGTGGCTATGAGAACTTGGGCGCGGTGTTCCTGTTTGAGGCGATCGTACGACACAGGACTGCGAGCCACAGCCTTGATCTCACGCCCTTGCCCTCCCTTTTGGATCAATTCGTGGTTGGATCCCTGGGATGAGTGCCAGTTCAATGTGCGGGCTTTAGTCCAGACAAATGATTTCCCACCTCCATCACGAAACTTGGAACAGTCTCGAAACGCCCAGCTGCGATGAGGCCCACCGCACTCGACAGATAACACTTCAGATTGCTGTGTTTCATTCCAAACAACAAATGACGTCGAGCGGAAGCCGTAGAGAATCAAATCTGGCTCTGTCACATGTGATGATTCTTGGCCCGACGTAAAGAAAGCCCCCTCAATGTTGGGCCCGAACGGGAGAGCAGACCTGTGGACAGCCGTCACGGTGGCTTCTTGCGTGTCTGCGGACTGTGGCCAATTGACACGATGGATTGCGTATATTCCGTCACGTCCTGTCGTCAGAACATGGATTGTCTCCCTGGAAGGTTGCGCATCTTCTCGCAGAATAGTGACGGAAGCAACACTATCCGTGCCGTGGGCATGGCGAAGGGACGATGGCTCTCCAGATGTTTCTGATTCAGATGTCACATGGCGATAGATTGCAAGAGCTCCAGCACGGGAACCAAGAGCCAACACCTGGCTAGAGCTGTCGTAGCAACAAGACGTGACAGTGAAGGTTTCCGGTGTTTTCAAAGATGTTTGGCTCACCTGGACTGAACCGTCTTTGATGCTCACCCAGAGGATGACTGTCTTCCGATTCGCCAACGAGGCAACAACACAAACTGTAGACGATGGCAGTTCTGTGGCATGTGGAGAGGCAAGCCGCATCCAAGAAATTGCACCTTCGAGGTCGCATTCGACAGGGACTAAAGAGTCGTTGTTGGTGAGTAACGCCGACAGTCCACCTCTCTGATATGCGACGAGAACGAGCTGCAGGCTTTCAGCGGAGCAGAGCACAAGGCCGCCACTTCCAGGATTCGGTATTAAGCTGATCCAATTCAACTTGTCATGGCTAGCAGTCAATCGGAATAAGTCGCCTCGATCCGTAGCAGCCAAGCACGCACCCGAGTGCAAGAACAAGTAATGCTTCAATGACATCGAGGAACCCGTAATGTCCTTGAAAGGCGTCGAGAAGGTGGCAGACGAGGCCATGCTCCCACGCGAGACATCAAATCTTCTGGAGATGATCTGCCCATCAGCGCCGCCAGTCTGGACGAGCAAATCTTGACCATCATTAACGTGGGTCATGGACCATGCATTCTTCCCAGAATGGTGTCGATCACTTGACTCTGCCCTCAGACGGGCCGTTAGGGGTATCTCTGGCGGAGTCCCTGCATGCAGCTCGACGGTCCACAATTGACAGGCACCGTCTTCACCCCGGGATAGAAGACAGACGCCGTTTCTGTTGGACATGTTTTGCAAAAATTCAACATCCCAAATGCGAGAGAGATGACCCCATTCGGATGCAATATGGGTGTTGCCTCCTTGACCGACAAGTCCAAAGCCTGTCTCGGCTGATTCTAGGCTATCATTGGAGGCGTGGGGTGTACAGTCACAGTCACTAATGTCCCAAATTCTTACCGTTCGGTCGTCAGAACAACTCGCCAACAAGCGGCAGTGAGTCGCGCCCAGGTCGAAGCCGTCAGAGATGGACACACCGAAAACGGAACCTCTGTGACCATTGAAGATGTGTCTTAGTGATGTGGACCCCTGGTCCAGGCTTTTTTCCCTCGAGCAAGTCCAGACTAGAATCTCCCCAAAGACGGTCCCAGAAGCCACGATAATTTGGCCAGATTTGGTGACAGCAAGGGAGCCGGAGTACAGGAATGACTTTGGGCCATTCACTGTGGCATATTTCCCACATTTCAGAGTGCTCTCTGCATGTGGGTGAAGGGACAGCTCTAGAAGCTGATTGTGTGCAGTGAGCAGGAAAATGCTGGATTGGTGGAAAGCTGCGTCTAGAATCCAATCTCCGCAGTTGAATGGTCTCGACAAAGTGAGCTCAGGTACCAGGGCTGACCCATGAGCTCCCGATTTGCCCAACGCCAACACAGCGGTGCAGCAAAATGCCCCTCCCCAGAGCACGATCTGATGGCTCTGACTCGAGACTTGCCCTGCATCGTGCGACTCGATCTGAATCCCACAGATAGGTTGGATCTCGAAGATCCGTGTAGATGAAATGATGACTCGGCCTTCATTGTAGATGTGAAGAAAGGGACCCTGCCCTGCCAAAAGCAACAACTCTCCATCAACCAGGACTGACCTGAGAGCAGTGACTGGCAGACATGCAGCTTGTGGCTATGATGGTCAGCGAGAGGGTTTGTGGGAGGCCATTAGACTGACCTCTAGAGTACATGTTGTCATTGAAGTGCAAGGGACCAATCGATTCGCGGCGTTAGTGGTGTAGCCTTGAGATATAGAGCGAAGAAAGAGCGAAAAAAGACCGTGATGAGCGGAAAATCCTTCCTACTTCCTACCTCCTGCCGCTATTAGCCGCTTATCGCCTTATCGCTTCACCTGCCCTCGGCTCACATTCTTCTTTGGGATAGTGGTATGGGGCTTATATACCCCCGGTGCCCCGCAATATAAACTCGACTGGTGCCAGGGCAGGTTCTCCAGTCTTCACATCGTTTCCCACGCGGTTATAAGTCACTTCCTCCGGCATAGGCAGCATAAGCCTAGAACAATAACAAGCTTGCAAATGGTAGGCCAGCGGGAATTGCCAAAGAAGGCTCACGCGTGCGGCCAATGTCGCGCACGGAAGGTCAAGTGTATGCTTGCCCCAGCTGTTTGGTCGCGTCAGTACCTGTATTGAGGCTTACATGGTTGAAAACTCCCAGGCGACGGAGGAACCCCGTGTGCCAAATGTCAGGTACTCTACCCCAAGTCGCTACCCAACAGGGATCTTCTCAAACGTCAATGCAGATTTCTCGAGCAGAATGTGTCTATCCCGAATCTCGACGAGGGCGACGAAGGCATGGCAGCGGCCTCGAAACCTCGCTGGAGGGTCGCATAGCTCGGATGGAAGCCATGATAGAGAACCAGAGCCAGACCAGGACCTCCCCATCGGTGTCTGACACAGCTCATCCTGGCAGTATCAGCAGCCAAAGCACCCTGGTGGCGCAAACCCTCGGACCACAATTTGGAAGCGCCAGGAACGCAACATCATCCACCTGGAACGAAACCCAGCATATCAGGTCGATCGACCTGGAGACCTCATTGCTCGACAATCCTACATTGACGTCTTTCGTGCCAGGAAAAGTTGTGCCAACATATCAGAATCCGCCCACTTCAACCACCCCAAGTTTGGCGGAAACGGTGCAACAGTCCGGGCAACCCTTTTCAAACAGGCAGATTGAGGCCAAGGAAGACTCTGACGCTACAAACATGGACAAGGAGGCCACTATTCTTGCTCCACAGGTGGTAAGTATACCCCCTTTGGGACAATTCCCGTGCAGGCTAACGGCTCTCGAGGTGAACTGGGAACATCATGGTAATGTACCGGTTACCTCCAACCCTCAAAGCCTCTATCTGATTATGCTTTGGCACAGGTCCGGGCTCCTGGCTATCGGTCTGCTCAAGGCCCGGTCTAGACTGGGTTGCACAAAGAACTGGCGTCCCAGATTTTGAAAACAGCGCCAGAGAGCTTATAACCACGTGGACGAGGCGTTTGACATTGGATCGGAGCAAAATCGCAGGTACCCAACACCGCGAACCTGATCCCGAGACTGCCTGGAAATATTGTAATGGCAAGTGATGTCGTTGTCTATTTCTCTCTCATGCAAAGGCTGACAAGATACTGGAAAGCATACTTTGAGGAATCGTTCGACGCAACTCTCGGCATTGTGTATCGACCCGAGTTTGAAAGCGCCCTTCGAGCCCACTTACGAGGAGATCTGGTGTCGGGCGATGACGCCTCGTGGTTCGCCTTGCGCAAAACCGTGTATGCCTCAGGATGTCGAATCTACCTCTCCAAACACACGTCAATGAGTTTCACAGAGATCCAGGCTGAAGCATGGAGCTATTTTCAGAGTGCCATGTCCGTCCTCATCGAGTTACTTTTCACCCCCACGGGTTTGCTCGCTGTTCGCGCCCTGATCGCAATGGTAAAACATCCGCATGTTTCGCTGCTGAATCTCATCTCACCACATCTGGCAGGCTTTTTTCTCAGAGGGTCTCGGCAATCCCGCCCTCGAGTACATGTTCTGTGCCGGCGCGGCGCGAGTGGCTCAGGCAAAAGGATTGCATCGGCGACCGGCCAAAGCGTGGAATTTGGCTGCCCATGATGAACTACACTATAGTTGGCTGTTCTGGGCCATATATTGCTGCGAGAAGCATATTGCTCACCGCTCTGGACGACCGTCTGTAAGTCATGACTACCTCGACCGATTTGTTCTCGTGTACCATCTAATATGTTCTCCAGGCCATCGATGACGACGAGATCAGCTGTCAGATCCCGACCGAGGCATGTCCAGGAAGCACTCTTGACGTGCAGGCATTCACCTATCTTATTCGACACGCCCAAATATCCTCTCGGATTTCCAAGAGACTCATGTCGGTCAAGGCCTTTCAACAGCCGCCGAACACTCTGCTTGAAACCGTAGCAGAACTGGACCACCAGCTGCATGAATGGAGAGATTCTCTCCCTCCAGGACTGAGACCAGACGACCGCCTCCGGTCCTTTCAGGTCCCCCACGGCGCCAGGTACCTCCCTACGGTCCTCATGCATTGCGGTTACTACGGGAGCTTGATGGCGATACACACTATCTTTGCCTACCCGTGGGTGTACAGCACCATCTTCGGGAACGGCAGGGGTGTGGTCACTCAAGACCAACTGATCTTCAGCTCGAACACGGTTGCAGAAGCCGCGAGGAATATCATCATCATCGCGAGAAGCCTGGAGATCAACGGTGCCTCGATACAATGGTGCGTATGACCGAGCAGAACGACAAACTCGTTAGCCTAACAGACACAGGCCAACCTTCTACTACCCCATGATCGGGCTGATCAATCTCTTCATACACATCCTTAAGTTCCCGTCTCTGCCGTCTGCGCGGTCTGACGTGGCCCTGCTCGACGTGGCGGCCGGCTACTTTGGACACATGGAGTTTGTGACATCTTCGGAGCTCAACTTTCCATTTGCTCGAGACGTCGCCACCGTCGCTCGGCAGACTGTCAACAAGGCGTTGAGGACCGATGTTCCCGCGAGCACGGGCGCCGACGAGGGCTTCAGTCTCGCCAACGACGTGGACATTCCGTTCGGGGTAAGTCACACCATTCTACCCGTTAGCTCTTCTCTATTGACAATCTCTAAAGGACATCTTCTGCGCGAGCCAGGACTTCAACCTCGACGACTGGAGCGTATTCTCGTCCGTCTTCTCTGACGAGGCACTGATGAATCGCGATATCGCTTTCTAGTGGGAGGGAGGGGGACGATACTAGCAAACAAGACCCAAAGGTTATTCTGACATGTCGAATCAAAATTCTGAAGCCTTTGGCACCAAAGCGTGTCTTTGACTCCAGCTACCATGAGTCCACCATCCCCATCCCCCGAACTCTCTCCACATTTCTTCAGAATGAGGATGCTTCGGTGTTCGGCGACTTGGCAGCCTCTTATGCCGTCCTCGCTTTTCAGCTCCTCAAGACTGGAATAGACACTGGCCGGGGTAAACTGGTTACCCATCTGGGGTCTCCCTTGCTGAACGCTAGATGCATTGCCTGGTAACAAATCAGTCGTCGGCCCTTCGGAACTGCAACTCCTCCCGTTGGGCTGGGCTGGGCTTGTCTCCTCCCTTGAAGCCGGTCGCGAGGTCGCTGGAGAGAACCTTTGCGGGGACTCTGGAGTCTGCGAAGACTCCCCGGACTGTTGCCAACGCGATTGTCGGGATTGGTTCTGTCGTTGTGTTCTTGGAATGACGGGGCATACCGACTCGTCTCACCTTGAACGTCTATCAGTTCTTCTCGTTGAACCTCCCCAGTATATTTCCCCAACGTGTTTCTGCGTCTATATCCCAACTCTCACCTCTCCCTTTCTTTCTGGTAGACATTCAATCCAAATCCCAAATCCCAAATCCCAAATCCACTCCCCTCGCCCGCGGCATATATCAAGACTACTTAGTACACATTTGTGAATAAGAATGCCTCACCCAGCAATATCATCGACCATATGGCCGCCCACACCGATCAGTCCGGCCGTCAAAGACCTGCTGGGACGATTCTTCCACCTCGCCGACCAGAAAGACGACAATGTCGGGACCGTGCTGGCTGAGGAGGTCTTTACGCCTGACGCGCGCTTCGTCACGGCTACTGGCGCCTTTGAGGGCAAGGAGCGTGAGTTTTTCGTCACTTTTACCCCCCTCTTTGTCCAGACCTGGTCCATCCCGTCCATCCAGGTCACACACGCACACACCTACCTATCCACCTACCTACCCAACGGTGGTTCTGTTTACTGAAATTATACACAACATCCAGAAATCGCAACCAGCCGCGCCGGCGCGTGGACCGTCGTGACCTTCCGCAAACACACCGTCGACAAGGTCTACGCCACCGGAGTGAACGTGGGTGGAGAGGGAGTCACCACGGACATTGTCCTCACGGGCAAACTCGAGACGCGCACCGAGGACGGCGGCTCCGTCAGCACCGTCACGGACTTTGCGGCGAGAGTGGTTTTTGTAGGGGGAGACGACAAAAGTGGTGGGAGCGGCGCGGGGTGGAGGATCAGGGAGTATCGGGCGTGGATTGGGCGGTCGGAGAGGTCCTCGGACTGAAAAGCATGAGGTATGCGGGATAGTGGGAGGAAGAAGGTTGGCTTGTGGTGTAAAGAAAGGATATACGATATATGATATACAATATACAATAGTTATACAAAGTATTCGATTTTATCCACAAGGCATCTCGACATGTTGTCACTTTTTGCCCTTTAGGAATATTTCTCGCGAAGGAGGTTGAGGTACCTAGAACTAAAAGACATATATATATATAATACATCATATGCCTTCTCGTACTCATACTCCCTCATCGCTCTCCTGACCCTCCTTACTCTTCCTCCCCCTACTTACACTTCTTATTCTCATAGTTACTCCTCGTACCTTTGAAGAACCGTCCTCGCCTCGTCAAACTCCCTCCGTATCGTGTCTTCATGTTGCCGCGACCTGACACAAAATGACGCCGAGAACGGATTCGGCCCAAACACGAAGCCGTCAGAGTATCCCGTCTCGACGTTCGCGTCGGGCGGTGCCGCCCCCGCGGCCGGGTCGGCTTTGATGTCGAACGCCCAGGCCATCTTGGACATGTTGATCATCTGTGTAACAGGGAAAAAGAGGGTGTGTGTTAGTGAGAGTTAACGTATTGGTATTGGTACTGTTTTTCGGTTATGGTGTGGAAAAGGAAGAGACGTGTATGCGTGTATATGGGTATGTGGGTATATGGGTTTTGTCTCTCTGGACGGATGGATAGATATGTATGTATGTATGTGTGTGTGTGTCGTGTGTGTGTGTGTGTGTGTGTGTGTGTGTGTGTGTGTGTTGTGTGTTGT